AACTGCAATGAACAGTCCAAAAATGAAATTAAGAAAACAATTCCACTTAAAATAGCATCAAAAATAATAAAATTCTTAGGAATTAATTTCCAAAAGAGATGTAGACTTAAATCCTGAAAACTATAAAACACTGTTGAAAGAAATTAAAGGAGACCTAAAAATGAAATGACATTACATGTCCATCCATGTCTTACAAGACTTAAGAGGGAAATACTCCCCAAATCTGTCTACAGACTTATTGCAGTTCCCACTAAAATTCCAGTTGTCGTCTTTGCAGGGATTGACAAACTGATCCTAAAATCCAGATGAAATGCAACAGATGAGAAATCATTAAAACATACTTGAAGAACAAAGTTGAAGGACTCACACTTCCCAATTTTAAAACTCACTATGAAGCTATAGTCATCAAGACAGTGTGGTATAGACATAACGATAAACATATAGAACAATGTAATGGAATTGAGATTCCAGAAATAAACCCTCACATTTATAGTCAATTGATTTTTCCCATAGTTTTTCAAAATTGTGGTAAAATAAACATAACAAATTGTATTCATATTGTACCATACTCCCCACCATCCATCTCTAGAACCCTTTCCATCTTGCAAAACCGAGCCTCTATATCCATTAAACACTAACTCCCCATTCCCCCCTCCCTCAAGCCCTTCCCTCAAGCCCCTGACAGCTACCATTTTACTTTCTGTCTTTCTGAATTTGATATTCTAGGTACCTCATATAAGTGAAATCACGCAACGTTTGTTTGTCTTTTTGTGACTGACTGGCTTAATATCTTCAAGATTCATCCATGTTGTAGCCTATGTCAGAATCTCCTTCCCTTTATTTTTTTTTTTAAGATTTTATTTATTTGACAGCAAGAGAGGGAACACAAGCAGGGGGAATGTGAGAGGGAGAAGCAGGCTCATCGCTGAGCAGGGAACCAGAAGCCTGATGGTGGGGCTCCATCCCAGGACCCTGGGATCAGGCCCTGAGCCGAAGGCAGATGCTTAATGACTGAGCCAACCAGGCGCCCCGAGTCTCCTTCCTTTCTAAGGCTCTATGAATGTATGTATATGCTGTATGTAATATACTACACTGTGTTTATCCATTCATCTGTCTATAGACACTTCGATTGCTTCTGCCTTTTAACTACTGTGAATATAGTACTTTTATGAATGTGAGTATACAAATACCTCTCCAAGACGCTGCTTTCAGTTCTTTTTGGTATATACCTAGAAGTGGAATTGTTGGATCATATGGGAATTCTATGTTTAACTTTTTGAGGAAACATTATACTGCTTTCCACAATGGTGACACCATTTTAGTTCCCTACCAGTAGTGTACAAGAATTCTAATTTCTCCACATCCTCACCAACACTTGTTCTTTTTCTTTCTTTTTTGATAGTAGCCATTCTAAGGGAGATAGTATCTCATTGTGGTTTTAATATTATTTATCTACTGATGAGTGATGTTAAGCATCTTTTCATGTGCTTATTGGCCATCTAAATATCTTCTCTGGAGAAGTGTCAGTTCAGGTCATTTGCCCATTTCTGAATTGAGCTGTTTGTTTTGTTGCTATTGTTGAGTTTTAGGAGTTCTCTATTCTGCATATTAATCCCTTACCAGATACATGATTTGCTAATAACTTTTTCCTGGGTTACCTTGTCACTTCGTTGATAGTGTCCTTTGATGTGGAAAAGTTTTTAATTTTTATGAAGTCCAGTTTTTTTCTTTTGTCACCTGTGCTTTTGGTAGCCTATATAGTCAAGTGCTTTTTTTCTTTTTAAAGAAAAGGGTGCCGAAACACTCAATAGAGAAAAAATATTTTGATAAATGGTGCTAGAACAGTTGGATGTCTACATGCAAATAAATGAAGTTGGATCCCTATCTCACACTATATATAAAAATTAAGTCAGAATGGATCAAAGACCTAAATATAAGAGCTAAAACCATAAAACTCTAAGAAGAATATATATATGGGTAACTCTTCATGATTTGGCAGTAGATTATTTTAAAAATGACATCAAAAGCATAAGCAAGAAAAGGAAAAATAAATTAGACAAGAGTAAAAACTTTTGTGCATCAAAGGATATTATGAAGAAAGTGAAAAGACAAATAGGAGAAAATATTTTAAATAATAAATCTGATGAGGATTTGATATCCAGAATATTAAGAACTCTTATAGGGACGCCTGGGTGGCTCAGTCAGTTAAGCGTCTGCCTTCAGCTCAGGTCATGATCCCAGAGTCCTGGGCTCTAGTCCCACGTTAGGTTCCCTGCTCAGTGAGGAGCTTGCTTCTCCCTCTCCCTCTGCCACTTCCCCCTGCTTGTGCTCTCCTGCTCTCTCTCTCTCGCTCTATCTCTCAAATAGATAAAATCTTTTTTAAAAAAAAGAACTTTTACAACTCAACAACAAAAAGCCTAGTTTAAATATGGGCAAAGCACTTGAATTGACATTTTCCAAAGAAGGTATACAAATGTTCAAAAAGCATGTGAAAGGGTACTCAGCATCATTAGTCATCAGAGAATGCAAATCAAAACCATGAGCTACTGCTTCACACCCACTTGAGTGGCTATAATTGTAAAGACAGAGAACAAGCGTTGGCTAGGATGTGGAGAAATTAGAACCCTCATATACTGCTGGGAGAAAGTAAAATGGTGGACCCACTTTGGAAAATAGTTTGACAGTTACTCAAAAAGTTAAGCATAGAATTACCATGTAAACCAGCAGTTTCACTCCAAGGTTTAGTTCTAGGAAAAATGAAAACATATGTCCACACACAAAATTGTACATGAATGTTCACAGCAGCATTATTCATTATAGCCCAAAAGTGGAACAAGCCTAAATATCCCTCAGCTGATAAATGGATAAACAAAATGTGGAGTGGTCATACAACGGAAAGCTGAGCGGTGATAAGCAGTACTGATGTGTGCTCCAACATGGATCAACCCTGAAAACATTATTCTAATTGAAAGAAGCCAGATACAAAAGGCCATATGTTTGTATGTTTCCATTTATATGAAATGACGAGAATAGGCATGTCTGTAGTGACGGAAGGTAGAAGAGTGATTGCCGAGGTCTGAGGGAATAGGGAAACGGATTGCCAGTGAGTACGGGGTTTATTTGTGTGTGTGTGCGGTGAAGTGCTGGAATTGGTGGTTGCACAACTTTGTGAGTATGCTAAAACTATTGACTTGTTCGTTTTAAAGGGTGAATTTTATATGGGATGTGAATTATATCTCAATAAAGAAAAAACAGGTTAAGGGTGCTCTGTTGTGCTCTTTTTCTGTCTTCAGCTCAGAAGCCCACTTTAGCAAGATTTTAGACTTTCTGTCAGTTAGCTATTTGTGCCTCTTTTGAATACTCTCAAACTCATGGCAAAATTTGCCTTCCTAGGCTGAGGTGTGCCTACAACATTCAAGGTAAAAACAGAAAAGAACAAAACATCTGCTCTTAGCCTGCCTTTATGTAGTGTGCTGGTCTTTGACTTTAGTAAATGTTTCATGAATAAGAGATTCCACAGTCAGATAAATTTGGAAAATGTAGTTAAACATGTTTCTTAACTTGGAGCCGGTGTGTATTACTGGGTAAATCCTGCCTCCCCCACATACCCAAAATATTTTTGGTGGAACATGCTCCTTGAAATTGCTATGGGAGTTAAGTCAATATTTTGAAATACTACTCTGAATCAGATTACTGTTTGTGTTAATACCATTCAATTTACTTAATAGACACTAAACCATCTTTTTATGACCTTGATGTTTTTATTTTTCCACAAGTTTGCTTTTACCCTTCGTAATTTATCAGATTCTCGAAATGTGGTCCGGAAGTCCCTGGGGCCTCTGAGACCTTTTCAGGTGGTCCACTAGGTCAGAACTATTTATTTTTATTCTATCACGACTATGTGGTGAAGTTTTTCAGAGGCTATATGATGAGTAATATCTCAGCAGATTGAATGCTAAAGCAGAAAATTTATTAAAGAGATTTGTAAAAATGTAAAACACTGCTACTCTTAGTAAATTTGTTTTAAAAACTCATTAAATTGTGTTGTTTATGTGAATATTAATGGGTTTATTAGTTTAAAATGAATTCATATATACTTAAAAAACATTAATCTATTTTAAGTTTCTAACTTAATAAATACTGATAGATACAATTCCATTAAAGAATAGCTCTTGAAGTCCTCCTGAAGCCAAAAAGTTTAAAACACACTCATCAAGATAATTAGTGTGAGCCATTTGTGAAGTTTAACACACTGAAGTCAGATTAATGGAACAGTTATCCATCTAAACCATTGGGGGATGGTTTCTAGTCAGGTGAAGAAGTTGGTACTTTGTTGCTTTCTTTCTGATTTTTAACATTTCACTAGATTGCTTGAATGCAGTTGGGATGCCACAGGAAAGATACTTTTAGGTTTTAGTTTAAAAAGATGTCACATCTGAGTCCCAGGGAAGATGGCAGAGCAGAAGGACCCCAAGCTCACTTCATACAGATACACCTCGCTGTGTGAAAACCCAGAAACTGACCTGAAGCCTGGCAGAACAGATTCTCCACAGCTAAGTGTAGAGAAGAGGCCACTTCGGAGAGGCAAATAATAAATATAGCCAGTTAAATAATTAGTAAACAAATAAGTCACATAAATATCATGAGACCATATGAAGTTAGAGAATTAATGAAACCACTGGTTTTATTTTTAGGATACGTGTTTATAATCTATTCACTATATGTAGGTTAGTAACCTGGAAATAAATATCTTTGGCTGTTAAACCAAGCCTCATTTTGATTATTAATTCTTATATAGTTTGGCAGCTTTTGAAATACCTGGAAACTTTCATCATCGTGCATTGATTAAACGCCAGATCTTAATATTAGATTTTCAAGTCTAAAAGAAAGCCGATTCTAACCTTTGATTGATATAAACTGACAAGACTTAATATCTTTCCACCTGTTGCGTGCGAAGATATTAAGTATTATTGAAGTGTTGCCTCTGTTTTTATTCACAGCTGGGGTTGGACTTGGAAGAACTAGAGGAAATAGAAGAGGACGCTGGCCTCGGGAACGGAGGCTTGGGGAGGCTGGCAGGTAATCCCGCCATCTGACTAGGGCATGGTCTCTCCTGATACGGTGCCCTGGTCGCTGAGCACCTGGTGAGGGTGTGGTCACCTGTGCTCCCAACAGCGGTTTGTCAGGGTAAATTGACCTGAGTGGATGGGAGAGTGTCATCCAAGTGGAATAAAATGCAAAACATTATGTTTCCCTTCACACAAGGATACTTCCTAATTATCATGAAGACCAGGCTTGCCGGTGTTGGGTAGCTGGCGCTGGGGGGTGGTTTCCAATACACTGACCACCTTCCACAGCCAGTAATTGGGAGAAAGATGGATAGACACACACATGCATGCGCATAGGCAACACACATACATGCACACACACAAATATATCTATGCATGCACACATCCGCACACACATAAACCCAGGTACGTACACATGTATGCGTGCACACACACACACAATTTATGAATGCAGCCCCGCTGGCAAGCCATTCCTGCTTTACTGTAGTAAACAGATTGCCCCAAAATAGCAGAGTCATTCCTTTCGGGATATTGCTCCCTTGGGCCATTCTGTTTGAGAGCATATCCAGTTTTGTTTTGTTTTTCCTGTTTGAGTTATTTTTGCTAGCCTTTTAGGGCAAAGGGAGCTGAGTGAAGGACTTAGAAGTGGAGGGGTGCCTGGTGGGCTCAGTTGGAAGAACATGCGGCTCTTGATCTCAGGGTCATGAGTTCGAGCCCCACGTTGGGTATAGAGATTACTAAATAAATAAACTTAAAAAAAAAAAAACCAAGAACTTAGAAGTGGAAATCACTGTCACCGTGAAATTTGATTTTGCTGTGTGCTTCAGGGCTCTTGGGCGCAGTGTTTCTGGAACAGAATTAAGTCAAGTTTTATGTTGCCCTGGTGTGGAGGGCACAGGAGGGTGGGTTTAGGCCCCTACCACTTTGCATTACTGCCCCCTTTGAGAGTTGTCATTTTGTAAAGGAATCAAACCCCCTAAAATGTATCTGAGTATGTGTACGTGTTTATGTTTTCCAATCTGAAGTTAAATTCTTCAGAAATTACAAAAGCAGCATATGATTCTCCCAAATGAAACAGCACCTGGCTCTGTATAAGGGGACAGCTGCAAGGCCTGCCCCACCCCCACCTCTTCGGGGGGGAAAAGCCGGTGCATCCCCTACACCTGCTCTCAAATGCTCTCCTTTAGTTTATGCCATGAGATCATCCCACACAGGAAGCTGAACCTTACTTCCCCCACAGAAGGAATCATGGTGCCCCTCCGGCAGGCAGCGCGCAGCCCCGAGGGGGCCTCCCATGTGCTGTAAGCCCCTAGGGCGTAGCCCCCTGCAGCCCCCTTCACCCTCAGTAGCATTCTCCTGGTTATAGCCATCTTCCCAGTCAGTAAAACAGCACCCATTTCACCAAGCTCAAGGAAGGCTCCAGACCCCTCGGTCTCCTTCACGGCTCAGGGCAGCTGCTTAACCTCCTCTCCTACCCCAAGGCTGGTGACTGTCAGCCAGGGTGGTCCCATCCCTGGTCTGCCACCATCTGCTCCCTTCAGGGGTTCAGGGCGTCTGCAGGCCTTCCACAGTCTGGTTCCTATCGACTTCCTAGTCTCCTTTCCTGCTCCTTCTGCGGCACTGCTGGCCTTGTGCGTGGACTGGCGTGATCTCCTCTGGGACTCCTCCCACCCGTGTACATGTGGGTAGCCCCCAGCCTTTTGTAACTTGATATGTCCTGTGTCCCTCCTGCGAGAATGATTTCTTCAAAACAAGAGCCCAGATCTTATATTTGTGGATACTCTTGTTCCTTCCCCTTAGCATAAGGTCTGATAACGGGTCTGGGCATGTTTGTTCAATTCAGCAAGTATTTTATTTGCTGGTGTTTCTTATGGACTTTTTTTTCTTTTTAATCTAGAAGTTTAATAAGGCTGCCTTCTGGATCTTTATTTTAAAACATTGGTTTTTTTCGGGGAGCCTAGGTGGCTCAGTCAGTTAAGTGTCTGACTCTTGATTTCTGCTCAGGTCATGATCTCAGGGTCATGCGATCAAGCCCTGCATCTGGCTCCATGCTCAGCGAGGAGTCTGCTTAATACTGTCTCTGTCTCTCCCTCTCCCTCCCCCCACCCAGCTCTCTCTCACTTTATCAAATAAATAAATCTTTAAAACATTGTTTTGTTTTGTTTTTTTTCTTCAAGACATTTTGATTGGGACAAAGGCTCCTTATGGTGACGTGCTGTTCCAGCCACCTTCCTGGGGGGCCTTGGGGAACTTTGGCTCTTAGGTGTTTGAGCCCTTATAGATGGCAAGATGTCCATCCATTCCCAGCCCCATCCCTGTGCCTTCTTCACTGGTGTGTACAGCTATTTTGTGGTGTTACTGTCCAAACAACTTGGATTTTAAGTAGAATGTGTAGGGCAATGTGCAGGGCTGTTGTGGCCTTCAGCCTGCATGAGGCTCTAAGACAAAGCTAGTAGTCAGGGGACTGTGCACTCAGAGGCATGCCAAGTTAGATGGGGCTGTCTCTGGGGTGCCTCACTTCTGCCCTTGCCACCTCCCCACACCCCCACGCTGAACACCCTCTTGGCCCGGCCCCCCCCAGCTCTCAAAGTGAAGGGATGGGGAAGGGGGGCTATTTCCCTTTCACAAAATCTGAAGCTTATGGGTCAGCCTTTAATTGCCGTCTGGCACCCAGAAGCTGGTGTCCCAGGGCCTACTTAACGTGGGTGTCTAGGCTTTGCTTCCAGTGGGCCTCGAAGCTGCTGATTGTCTTTGATCCCAAGAAGTGCTTTGTGTTTGGAATTTTCAGCCTGCTTCCTTGACTCGATGGCCACATTGGGCCTGGCAGCATATGGCTATGGAATCCGCTATGAGTTTGGGATTTTTAACCAGAAGATTGTCAATGGCTGGCAGGTGAGTGAGACTCCATTTCTTCACTTGTTTCCAGCTCTCATGCGCACAAGAAAACAGGCACTTTTCTATGATGATCTTCTTTCTGGAGGGATTATCTGCCAGTCCAGGGCAAAGCAGAGGTGTGACAGGTCAGGGCTATCCTGTGAGCTCCGTGCTTCCCTTAGAGTTCTCTATGGGCTGCCAGAGGCTGATCTGTGTGAACTCATCGCACACAACTTCGGGAGCCTGCCAAGCCTGTCGGGGAGGGACCCAGGGCCTAGCTAGTCTTACAGGAGCACAGGGGTTGAGGCCACCACATTCTGTGTGCTGGTTCCTTGTTGTCCCTCTGTGAAGCAGAGGCGGCCCCTCTGCTTCACCCTCAGTGGGACAATTGACCCGCAGTAGTTGGAGAAACAGTGTTAACATAGGTTTTGTTCCTGCCTTCTGCCTTCACTCCCTGATGCCAGTGACGGGACAGTGTCCTGAGGGTTAGAGGCCGGACTGCAAAGTAACGCTCTGAGGGAGAATGGGCTTGGGTTCTGAAGCATCAAACCACAGTGAATTGAGGTGGCCAAGACCACATCAGTGGAAAGAGTCTAATTTCAAAGTGCAGCCTCATTGCCCTCCACTGGGCAGGGGGACCATTTCCCTCATTCAGGACTTCAAAATGGAAGGCATAGTTATTCCACTTGATGGGAGAATAGTTTATGTAATATAATTTGGGGCCTAAAAGTGACATATAAAGTAGGATTGTGGTTGGGATTAAAAGGTTTGTAACAGGAGAGTAGTACAGAACATGAACAGACTGGGGTGATGGAAAGCTCCTGTGTCTTGATGGGGCTTGGGTCACAGGCGCGTGCAATTGCCAGAACTCAAGTGTATCCTTCAGGTTTATACAATGCGCTGTATATGTATTAACCTAAAACATAAACACAGGATGAACTGTACTTAATGATGTGCATGCCCAACTGTTCGTGGAGAAGCGTACAGATGTCTGCAACTGACTTTGAAATGCATCAAGAAATGAATGGGTTGATGGATATGTGATAAATCAAGTATAGCAACATGTTAGTTATGGATCCTAAGTTGAAGGTGCGTGAGTGTTTCCTGCCAATTCTTTTAACACTTCTGTATGTTTGGAAACACTCATAATAAAAAGTTGACAAAAGTATGGCTAACAGTAAAAGAAAACTTAAAACAGATTTGTATCTGCTGCTTAATTTGTAGACATACTCTCTCCAACCTTAGAACTGCACTTTTCCTCCTGGTATATTCTGGGTAATTTAATGCAGAGTTCCTTATGTGTGTGTGTCTATCAGAGGCACCCCAGCCTTTGTACACCCGTGTGCTTTGACCCATTCAAGCAACGTGCATTCATAAGACAGAAACTCGCAGGCCCCTCCTTGCCTACTTGGTGTTATGGTTATAGGCAGGAAGGTATTTTTGTGTTGTCTTTTGTTTGCTTGATCACAGACATTCCTTTCTTCTGGTGTTCTCGTTCTTCCACCTCTTGCCATCTTGCATAACAGCTTAAAGACAGTTGTGGGATGATAGGTGAGTTATAAACTCAGCCTCCTCCCACCCAGTTTTCATGGGAGCCAGTTTTTAATTGAGTTTAGCTGTAGCAGAATTAAACGCAGACAGTGGTCAGACAGCAGTGTTGTTGGCCATGGGGGCAGAGTTGGGGGTCTCCTGGGAGGCCTCCGCCCACCACCGCTGTAGTCGAGGAGATGCTGCTTCTGCAAACAATTCATGGATGTACTCTGCAGGAGATGGCCAGGCTTTGGTGTTGGAGAATCTCACTGATGTACAAGGACATGGCACCAGATCAAAAGGCAGGGCTGGTCCCATGATGAATAGCTGCCTGCACCAGACAAAAAAGCCCAGCCAGGAGTACGATGCAGAGACACATATTGAAGCAATAACCTCATCCACGTCACCTCCCTAAAACTGCAACCAGATACTCTTCTTGACTTTTTACTTCTGTGTAAGAACCATTAAAAAAAAACAACAACAACAAGGCGCCTGGCTGGCTCAGTCGGTAGACCATGTGACTCTTGATCTTGGGGTGGTGAGTTCAAGCCCCACATTGGGCATAGAGCTTACTTTATAAAAAATAAATAAAAATTAAAGAATAAAAATAAAAAACCCTCAAGGTAACATACAGGCACACTTGTTCTATTGCATTTCAATTTATTGTGCTTCTCGTATACCGCATCTTTTATAACTTGAAGGATTGTGGCAACTCTGCATTGAGCAAGTTTGTTGATCCCATATTTCCAACAGCATTTGCTCACTTTATGTCTGTCACATGTTGGTAATTCTCACAATATTGCAAACTTTATTATTACATTGTTCCCATGATCTGTGATCAGTGATTATAACTTGCTGAAAGCTCAGATGATGGTTAGCATTTTGTAGCAATATTTCTTAATTAAGGTATTGTGGGGTGTTTGTTTTTTTTTTTTTAGATATTTTATTTATTAGAGCAAGAGAGGGGACACAAGCAGGGGGAGTGGGAGAGGGAGAAGCTGGCTTCCCACTGAGCAGGGAGCCCAATGCGGGACTCGATCCCCATGACCCGAGCCGAAGGCAGACGCTTAATGACTGAGCCACCCAGGTGCCCAAGGTACTGTTTTTTAAGACATAATGCTGTTGGACACTTAATAGGACTACAATGTAATGTAAATGTAACTTTCATTTGCACTGGGAAACCAAAACATTCATTTGACTCTATTGCTATATTCGCCTTTTTTCGGTGGTTTGGAGCCAAACCTGCAATATCTCTGAGGTATGCCTGTACTTAGGGTTGCTTGTTAAATTTGAAGAAGAAAGGGGCACCTGGGGCACCTGGGTGGCTCAGTCAGTTAGGTGTCTGACTCTTGGTTTTGGCTGTGGTCGTGATCTCATGGTTGTGAGATCAAGCCCCACGTTGGGTTCCGAGCTTTGTGCAGAGTCTGCTTAGGATTCTCTCTCCCTCTGCCCCTCCCCCTACATGTGTGTGTGCTTTCTCTTTCCCTCTCTAAAATAAATAAATAGATCTTTTAAAAAAATTTGAAGAAGGGCTTTCATCTAAATTTTAATTTATATTTATAATTCTTTATTCACTGCTTACCAAATTAATTAATTCCATTGCAACCCCACCAAATGCTTCTACTCAAAGATTGTTAGATCTGTGGGACTACTTTTAGTTTTGTTTGTAGGATTCTTTTTTGTGTATTTACTGATTTTGGATGCTACCAGGTGCAGTTTTTGAAAAATAAGCTGCTTTATGGAAGGCCTAGCAGAAAAGCAGTGTCTTCCAGTGGTGTATCCAGGCACTCCTGCAGCAAAGGCAGCCCAGTCTCTGGTACCCACTAATTTGTGGTGTCATTTTCCAAGCAGTGGGCTCCAGTGATTCTTTTTTCTTTTTTTAATGACAACTTTATTGAGATACCAAGTGGTTTTTAATATATTTACAAAGTTAGACAGCTATTACCATTGTCTATTTCCAGAACACTTCCATCACCCCCAAAAAAAGTCCCGCATGGATTTGCAGTCACACCCTAGTGCCTGACAACCACTGATCTACCTGCTGTTTGGCTGTTTTAGACATTTTCTGTGAATGGAACCATACACTACGGGAGCTTCTCTGACTCCACATGTATGTGAGGTTCACCCATGTTGCAGCACGCAGTGGGACTTCATTCCTTTTTATTGTTACATTCGGGTGATTCTTAATGTCTTTTTACCTAAATGCATTTTTCGGAGTTCGTTTCTTTAAGGGTCCAACGTTAATTTTTGAACATGAGGCCTTGACCAGAACTGGAAATCTTTGCCTTGTAGGCATGCTGTGGTTTATTTCAGCGCCAGGCAGTACCGTCTGGAAAGTGTGGTCCGTGTGGGCTGAGGGCCTGTCTCCCCAGCGCCCCCTGCGAGAGCTGCCCTCACTGCTGGCTCCTTTCCAGGTGGAGGAGGCCGATGACTGGCTGCGCTACGGCAACCCCTGGGAGAAGGCCCGGCCGGAGTACATGCTGCCTGTGCACTTCTACGGGAGGGTGGAGCACAGCCCGGAGGGCGTCAAGTGGCTGGACACCCAGGTAGCCACCCCGGCACCCCCGGGGAGTTGGGCTGAGTGAGGGACTGCCACAGTCCATTATCACATCGGCTTCCCTTCAAGAGTGGGACGTGTGCTGTTTCCCAGACAACCTGACTCGAGGTGAAAGCCTGGGAGGCTTTGTCCTCATACACCTGCTTCTTACACGTGGTCGGGAGCCGCCCAGAAAGTGAGAAAAGGCTCCGTGGGAAGCCCCAGGCTTTGCACTTTAATGGGCTTGTGTCGGAGTTGAGACCAGCCGGCGTTGGATGGCTAGCAGGACAGTGTGGTGGCAGGGGCAGGGCACTGATTCCCTGGGGGACATGGATAGCCCCCCAGCATGTCCAGAGAGCAGGCGCTTGATGCATGCACTCAGCACACACCACAGGCCTTAGTGGTGTCTCCCAGGTGTCACCCACCACTACTGAGCCGTCAGAGCCCTGGGCAGTGTGGTGAGCTGGGTGGATGTCCCAGAACGGGGCACGGGCGTTGACAAGGGGACCAGGACAAGAGCACGGACAGTCTAGTCCAGGCTCGGTGATGACAGTGCACATCTGGGTGGTCTGAGGGGGCAGAGGGAGGAGGCAGGAGAGCCTTCATGGGGGCATAGCTGTAACGAACAAGATTCAGTCGTCTGGATGTGGGGAGGTGAGCCCGGGAGACTGGGGAAGTGCTGGGCATGGAAACCAGATATTCTGCAGTATAAGTTTTAAACAGGGTGCATAGGCTAAAGCTAGCTGGAGCCATGTTATGGAGGCCTAAAATGCCATAATAAGTTGTATTTAATTTGAAAGAACAGAGAAGGGGTCAGTTATCCCAGTGCATGTGCTTGTAGAAGATGAGCATATCATGTATGTAGGGAAGCACAGAGACCATGGGGGCATTTCAGGAAGAGTGTGGTGGGGCCCTTAACCTGGAGGGCTGACCCTGGAGAGGGAAGGAGGGGTGGTTAGGGATGCTTTGCAGGGCTTGTCACTGGCTTGGACAAGGCTGTGGGAAGCAGGAGGCAGGGAAGGGGGGGGAGGGGAGGGGAGGGGAAAGGCGATACTGAGGCTCTAGCGATGCTATCATGCAGTCCTTTTGGCTGTAAGAGTGGATTTCATCTCTTAAAGCCACATAGTGGAACCTGTATGAGACCCCATGGGCATGCCTGAGTGTGAAAAGCCCCACTGGAGGGTCTGAGGGTTGGAAGTGACCTTGAGGCTTGTGTGTATCTTCCCGTTCTTGCTAAGAGAAAAGCAGATACTTGTGGACAGAGGGGAGTGGGGGGGTGGGGGTGGCAGGCTCTGTGGGTAGAGAGCAGGCCCTGCATTTTCTGTTGTGAGTAGAGTGTGGGCTGGTTTGGTTTCTCTGAGGGTTAGAGGTCAAGGCCTTCTGCAGACATTGGGAAACACAATCAGAAATAGAAGCCATCCGTGGAGAAGTTCGCTGAGTCCTGAAATTGCACAAGCAGGGTCGAGCCAGAAGAGGGACAGTGTGGAGGACAGAGGACGAGGGCCCAGGAGCTGTGGCCAGTAACAGAGAGCGTAAGCGAGGTTGACACAGTGGCCCCTTGAGCAGCTGAGTGGGAAGAGTTCTTAATGCCAACGTTGAAGGAGGTAAATCTAGAGAAGACAGATGTGACCTCAGGAGTGTGGTCAGGACCTTCCCTGTGGGTCCACCACAGGTGATCCTGGCCTGGGCTGCCCTGGCACAGGGCGAGTGGCAGGCGTCTGGGGCCGAAGGAGAACAGCCAGAGGGCAAGCAGGTTGGCCACCAGCAGGCAGCAGAATGTTGCTGGTGGGATGAGGAGGCTGGGACCGGGGACTGTGTCTCTGGCTGACTGGATCGGACCATCTCTCCTTGGCCAGGTGGTGCTGGCCATGCCCTACGACACCCCGGTGCCTGGCTACAGGAACAACACCGTCAACACTATGAGGCTGTGGTCCGCCAAGGCACCCAACGACTTCAAGCTCCATGACTGTGCGTTCTGCCCCTCTTGTCTCTTTTGGGTGGCTTCCCCCAAACTTGCCCCGTGCAGCTCCTGTCCTGTCTGCACTGTCCCTGCTGCGGAGAGCACAAGGCTCCCTCTGCGGAGGGCAGAGGGCAGGCTCCTCAGAGCACTGGGGCCTCCCAGGGAGCACCCACAGGCAAAGCCAGTGCTCCTGGGACCCTGCACCTTCAGGAAGGAGCAAGGGGCCTGGGGCCCTGTAGGGTGTGTGAGGGCGCAGTGAAACCATGGCTCTGGGGGCACCTCCTGTTCAGGAATGCCCCTCACATGGTTCAGGGAAGTGAGGGAGAAATTGTGGGCAGAGGGCACATGGGGAGTCAAGGAAAGGCACACGGGTCCTGACCTTACCATCTCTGCGCACAGTTAATGTGGGTGGCTACATCGAGGCAGTCCTGGACAGGAACCTGGCCGAGAACATCTCCAGAGTCCTCTATCCAAATGATAATGTGAGTAGCTCACATGGTTGGTTCTCATCTGCTAGGAAAGTGCACAGGGAGGCTGGGGCTCTCTAGAAGGACCACACTTCTCAGGTGAGACCACGTAAGTGGCCACCAGTGGCCCTCATGTGGCTCCTTGGAGTGAGGATGGTGCTGCATGCTTGATGAAGCCTCACAAGTCCAAGTGCACCTGTTAGCATCTCCCCCTTGCCCTCTCCCTAAGGGGATGCTTCGGGAGGCTCGTGGGCTCTTCTCACACGTCTACAGTCTGAGGGCTGGCTCCAAGCTGACTCTGTAGGGGGCCACATGCAGGGCAACATGTGGGGGATGTGCGAGCTTGTCAGACCTCACATGCAGCCGGCTTCTGCTCTTCTGCCACGTGATGCCGCTTCCCCGAGAGTTGTGTGACCCATTTCTCAAGTGGGAACAGCAGTCCCTGTTTGTCAGTGATGCCTTGAGACATATGCCAGTCATGGTTTGCAAAGCTTTTAGTATGTGCCACCACCCACTAGATGGAGTCACAACCAGAGTCTCCATTGCCACCAAATTTAGTGTCCACTGGCTTTGTTACTGTTGCCAGACAAGAGCCCTTGGAATTTGCCTGAGTGGGTTGTGTGTTTTCTATTTAATCAGAGTAGTGTGTGCACATTAGTAGCAAAGGGCATTGGTGCTGAGAGGCTCACAGCCAAACCCACCCTGTCCTCACTTCCGCCTCCACGAACACTGACACTTTAGAGCTTTGCTTCTGAGTGGCTCTGACTGTTAAGGAACGAGACCTGCATGCCTGGTGTCCTCACACAGGGCAGTGTGGCCCTGTGCTGGCTGCCTTCCTGTCTGAAGATCACATGCAGGGTAGGCCATCGTCACCTAATGACTGTGCCCCTGAGCTGCAGTTACCTGACGGGGGCCCGGGGTGGTCGGGACAGAGGCTTCAGCACTGTGCTGGCCCCACAGGCTCCCATTCTCACGCACACGTGTGCCTCTGCAGCCCCTGGAGCAGGATCCCTCGGCCTGCTGCCCTTCTGGGGTCCTGGGATGGGGGGGTCCCTCGAGGGCCTGCGGCGGCCCTACTGGCTGTTGTTGGTGCTAGCGCTGTCCCTGTCTGCAGTTCTTCGAGGGGAAGGAGCTCCGCCTGAAGCAGGAGTACTTTGTGGTGGCTGCCACCCTCCAGGACATCATTCGCCGCTTTAAGTCCTCCAAGTTCGGCTGCCGGGACCCAGTGAGAACCTGTTTCGAGACATTCCCAGACAAGGTTGGTTTGTAGATGGGTCTTGAACCCAGTGCAGAAAGGCAGGACGTTCCCAGGCTTGGTTTCTTCCTCAAGGCTGGGCCTTGGGTAGGTAGGGGGTTGGGCAGGACAGCAGCCCCCCCTTATCCTGGTCTCCTTGTCATCAGGGGCTGGGCTCTTCCTCCGTGACTAGGGCCATACAAGGCATCCTTAGGAGCAGCAAGGGACACTGTAAAAGGTTCCCGTGGGCAAATCGTGATGCATTTGGCAGGCTGGGTTCCGTGATTTTAAATAAGGCCAACATATCCTAGTTGGGAGGAACATCCTGGGTCAAGGGGAGCTGTGGAGAGCATGAGGAGGGCCTTGGAGGCAGGCTGAAGGTCCTGCTGAGGAGCCCGCCTACGGGGGTCTTCTTGGCCCCTCCCTGTGGCCCTGTTGTACTCCCTGCTCCTTGGCTGGTTGTCGTGCTGGGCTCAGCACCTCTGCCATGCTTTCAGCTCCCGTTGTTGGCCCTATCGACCAGGCTCCTCAGGGGTGGGCGGCTGAGGACCCGCATTCTGTACACACTGACCATGGTGGCACCCATGCAGGCAAGGGGGTTGAGGGGGATTGCCCTGTGTAAACTGCAGGTTGCCATCCAGCTGAACGACACCCACCCAGCCCTTGCCATCCCTGAGCTCATGCGGATACTGGTGGACGTGGAGAAAGTGGACTGGGACAAGGTGAGCACCGAAGGCTGGGAACATAGGGTGATGGTGTCCTCACAGCCACGGGCATGTGAGGTGACACTCTCCCTGTCAGAGCTGGACATATGGAGTGATGGTGTTCCCCGCAGACCTGGGCACGTGGGGTGATGGTACCCCCCCAGACCTGCATGTGGGTGACAGTGTCCCCTGCAGACACCTGGGTACATGGGGTGATGGTGTCCCCCACAGACCTGCATGTGGGTGACAGTGTCCCCTGCAGACACCTGGGTACATGGGGTGATGGTGTCCCCCACAGACCTGGGCACGTGGGGTGTCGGTATCCCCTTCACCTTCAGGCCTGTCCCAACAACAGTGGTGAGTACTGAGATGCCCCTAGGATGCTGAGGAAGGCCTTTCCCCTGTGGCCTGGGGGGAAAGGGGCATTGTCCCTGAGAAGACAGAGCTGTGGGGAGGAGGACATTCCCGGAGTGGGTCTGGGGTTTCTCCCAAGGGACCAGGACACCGTGGGTGGGGCAATGGTGCAAAGGCACACAAGAATAATTTTCTAGAAGACAGGAAAAGGATCCTCACACTTCTTAGAGCTTCTCACATACATTTTTCTCATCTTAGAATTGTGACAAAACCCCCAGAAGTATTAAGTGTAAAGAAACACATTGTTTACATTTTTATAAGTTTGTTCTGACTCATTTGGTCCTAGATACTTGTATAGATTTTCTTAATCTAGTTTAAATCAACATGTAAAACTGTAGAACAACTTTTACATCGTTTTGTAGAACCCAGAGCCCCTCTCTGGTTTGGGGTGCACTTCCAGGTGGGGCTGGGCGCCCCCCCACGCCGCGCCCTGTGGTCCCGTCCGCTCCTGGCCAGTGGAGGGAGGTCACACAGGTTCCAGTGTTCTTGGACTGGGTGTGAGATCAGTTGGGTGGAAATAAAGTAGAAAATTGGCGTTCTGCTTTGTTCACCAATAAAAAAATAGTTTACAGAAGAAAAGTGAGTCAGTGAATGATGCCAGGTGGTGAGGTAAGCGTTACTCATATATGTGTGTGTGCTCTGTCAGGACGTAGAATGTACGTGGTTATGTCTGAAATGTGGAGGGCATGGGGCTCACTTGTAGGTTTTGAGGTACTAGACAGGCCCCAGAGAGCAGAGATGTACAGCTAGCCGACTGGGCCCCTTTCTGGTGGGATCCGAGCATCTCCCTTTGATCCTGGACTTGCCCCTTGCTTAGGCATCTGGTAGAAGAACTGTTTCTAAACAAAACACATTGGAATGTTCTAGGCCTGGGAAATCACAAAGAAGACCTGTGCATACACCAACCACACCGTGTTACCCGAGGCCTTAGAGCGCTGGCCTGTGTCCATGTTTGAGAAGCTCCTGCCACGGCACCTGGAGATCATCTACACCATCAACCAGAGGCACCTGGATGTGAGCAGCAGGGATGTGGGTGGGAGCTTGGGGGTGCTGCATGACCACCCCTCCTGTCGTGATCAGGGATGGAGGTGGAGGGCCCTCCTGTCCTCCACATGGAATCATCTGGCCTGGAACAGGTGCCTGATTTCTTGAATAGCCTCTGCCTAGCAGAGGACTTTGGGGTCCAGCGGCTGTCACCCGGCAGAGGTGATGCCTAGTCCCCACACCTAGAGCTCTGCAGTGTATGTGGGAGTCATAAATTCAGGTCTTTTTAAAACATTCCCATTCCTGAGTGGGGCTCAGATGTGTCTGTTCCTGAAACGTCTTTGTCCTGGGACATCATAGCAGCATTTGGGTGATTTGGAAACAAAGCAGCATTTGTCTTTTCTCTGTTACCTGCAGAGAGGAGAATGGTGCACGAAAAGGGCAACTTAGAATCCAGATGTGTTTGTAGTTCTTTTTTTCTTTTTAAGATTTTTTTATTAATTTGAGAGAGAGCACGAGTGAGGGGAGGGACAGAGGGGGAGAGAGAGGAGCAGACTCCCCATTGAGCGCGGAGCCCGACTGGGGCTCAACACTGGGCTCGATCCCAGGACCCCAGGATCACAACCTGAACCGAAGGCAGACACTTAACTTGCTGAGCCAGCCAGGTGCCCTTGTAGTTCGGTTTTTTAACCTTCTGTTGAAAACGTAGTCGTTCCCAACTGGTCAGACTGTGGCTAGACCCTGCCTAGGCCAGGAGGGCAGCACTCTCGTCTTGTCCTCGTGAGTCCCGTGGCACACCTCAGCACCAAGGTCCTCCGACTGTCTGCCCCTGGCAGGACAGGTTTGCCTCCAGCCAGCGCAGGCCATTCCCCGGGCGGTGCAGCATGGAGGAGCTTCCTCCTGCACTTGCGGCTCTGGGAGGTGCGTCCCGGGACCTCAAATGCACGTCTGGGCTGCAGCAACCCCAGGATTTCCTTGGAGGAGCTGGAATCTCCCCTGGGGGCCCCTGGGCCTCCTGCTCACGGCTCTCTGTCTTGGCAACAGCACGTGGCCGCCCTGTTCCCCGGGGACGTGGACCGCCTGCGAAGGATGTCTGTGATCGAGGAAGGGGACTGCAAGCGGATTAACATGGCCCACCTGTGTGTGATCGGGTCCCATGCTGTCAACGGCGTGGCGAGGATCCACTCGGAGATTGTGAAGCAGTCAGTGTGAGTGGGGCCAGCATTTGCCCTGAGCTGACTCTGGATCTGCCTCTGGGACTGTTAGCAGCCATACGCACGGTGGCTGGGGCCTGCTGCCTTCGTGGGCACTGACTGAACTGCTCAGGGCACAGCCGTCGGGGGCTCCAACTCAGCGGGTGGTGTTGAGGTGCTGAGCCTTCTTGTCACCAGTGCCCTCCTCTTTTCTGGCTCTCTCCTGGAGCCATCTGCTGCTGACCAAGCGCCGGAGTGCCCCACTTGGGGACAGGTGTCCCATGCCTAGACAGCATGGAGGTCAGGGCCGGAAGAGCCAGGGCTCATCAGCGAGAGGAAGGAGGAATCCTTAGGTCCGATCTCATGCTCCCCCTCCATCTCTTGGTGGGACATGATCTTGGAACTCCTTCCCTCCATCCTCATCCCAGATGTATGTGGAGCACCTCTGTGAGTACCAGGTAGACCCCACACCGAGTCTGTCCATGCGGAGGCTTCTGTGTTCCTAGTGCCGGCCCGAGGGCTTTGTGTGTAATAGTCTTTAGTCCCTGCAGCAAGCCTGTCAGTGGGGTGTGTCCCCATTTTACAGATGAGGAAACTAAACCCCGGTTTTCAAGCTCTACAGCCTGTACCCTCTCCAATGTCACGGTCACCGTGGAAGATGGCTGGGTTCCACCCCCTGTGTGGTGAGCGCTCTGTGGCCGAATGTGTAGTGCTTTGAAAAGCACCCGTGCCCACTGTTGTCAAGGCGTGCACTAACACTGACGCTCTGTGCTCTTTAGAAAACAGAACAGAAAAACTGAGCTTCGTGATCTTCCGGGGGATTTCCTTATGTTCTTTTGCTCACCTTATTCAAAACACAGGGCTTGTGATACCTGCCTCTTTTCTGTTTCAGCTTTAAAGACTTCTATGAGCTGGAGCCAGAGAAGTTCCAGAATAAGACAAATGGCATCACACCCCGACGGTGGCTGCTGCTGTGTAACCCGGGGCTGGCCGGCACCATCGCAGAGGTGAGACCCGCTGCCTCCGAGTCCCCAGGGAGCTGTGGGCACAGTTAGAGCCTCAGCTGTTGCCCAAAGCCCTCAGGCCCATCGCCAGCAGGTGCCGAGTGGGAAGTGATTGCTCCTTTGTGTGTTGACCAGCAGTGGCTCCAGGCTGGGGACATGTGAGGTCAGACATGGGAGTGCTGGGCCAGGCTGAGTGGTCAGCAGCCCCAGCAGCCCCAGCGGCTTGTGCAGGAGTTTCAGAAGTGAGGTCCTGGGCTTCGGGGAGGACTGGGGTGGGGCCATCCGGCTGAGCGGCAGCCATAGGCCCACTGATGAGGTTTGGTGAGGCAGAGACGCGATGTTAAACTGGTTGTTCATGTGCTCGTGCAGGAAGGAAGGAAGGGATGGGTGCTTTTACACCCCAGGTGCTGTGCTAGCTGGGAAATCACAAGACCTGTGCCCGGGTGGTGCCTGGTGAGGGCCTACCATGGGGACACTGCCTGTCTGGGCTGCGTGTGTCAGGGAAGGCTTCCCTGGAAAAGGGACAGCAGAGCACAGATCCGAAGTGCTAACGGGAGGGAGCCAGGAGCACAGACTCTCTGCTCCTTTGGTGAGGGGCATGGCCCCCCGGGAGCTGGAAGGCCAGCAGGGCTCAGTGCCTGGTGAGTCAGGCAGACGGAGGACAGGCCGGGAGTTTTCCTCGTGATTCTAAGTTAGCAACAGGGAGACTTAGCGGGGTACTTGATGAGAAGTGTGTTCAGACCGACCACCCTGCTGTAGTGCAGAGAGGTCTGGACCAGGAAGTGGCTGGAGGGTGCAGGTCCTTGGGAATGGGTGAGGAGCTGCCAGGCCATGGTTGGCCCCCAGGCTTGGGACGTGTCTGTGAAGGGGACAAGGGGGGCTTGCATGATTGTTGTGGATGTTTGAGCTTGACCAGACTGTGGCTGCGACGTCCTGGTTGGGAGCAAACCCAGGCCTGATTGAGAGGGAGCCCGGGGTGGGCTGCCCATGGTTGTTGGTTGTGGCCATGGTGTGGGGGTGTTTTTGATAGCTGGGTGTTGTGAGAGAGAAGCAGGCCTGGGGCCAAGCTGGAGCAGATCCAGGGAGGAAAGCAGAGGCAGGGATGACAAAATGGGAGGACAGTCTCCAGGAAGATGGGTCTCACAGAGAACAGAAACCATGTGTCCCTTTACAATTCTACAGAAAATCGGGGAGGGTTTCCTGACTGACCTGAGCCAACTGAAGAAGCTGTTGCCATTGGTTGATGACGAGGCACTCATCAGGGATGTGGCCAAGGTCAAGCAGGTAGGCCCGCCCAGTGTGGGATAGCCGTCCTGCATGATCTGGGTGTCAGACCCAGCGGCCGCCTAGTCCATCCACCCCGCTCAGTCCTCAGGTCACCAGCAGGTGGGCAGGCAGGTGCAGACCCCAGAGCAGCCCAAGTATGCATTGCCCCAAGTTCTGCAGGAAGAGCTCATCCACAGGAGGCGCGCTGAAAGTCCATCCAGTCCTGGCGTCCCTGCGCGTGGTATGCTGCTTGGTTGCGTGAGAGCCTCTCCCCAGGGCAGCTAGCCTTGCAGGCAGACAGGCCGGGGCCCCTGGAGCCCTCCAAACCTGACAGGTGGCCGCCATGACCAAGAACACGGCCCCTCCCAGGCCTGCCTGTCTGCTGGGCTGCCACATGGTCTTAGGGCCCAGAAAGAGTCCTTCCTCTTGAGTTTTCTCTCCCTGCCTGCCCCCATCTGTTTCCTTTGACACCACACTCACAACTCCCGTTTGTTTTACTTTCCTTAACCCTTCTGCTTCTGTGTAGGTTTGCTTTTTGGTCTAGTTTCTGGTTTATTTTCTGCCACTCCGGGTGTGTGCCCGCCTTCAGCACCCCGTTCCCCCACCCCCCATCCTCAGAAGGCCTCCTGGAGCCCCTGCCCTGCTGCATGGCTGGAAGGCCGGAGCCTTAGTCAGACCTTGGGGACTCTGGGGTTTGACCATCCTTGTCCTTGTTTCTCCCCAGGAAAACAAGCTGAAGTTCTCTGCCTTCCTGGAGAAGGAATATAAGGTGAAAATCAACCCTTCCTCCATGTTCGACGTGCACGTAAAGAGGATCCACGAGTACAAGCGGCAGCTGCTGAACTGCCTGCATATCATCACCCTGTACAACCGTGAGTGTGCCCGGGGCCCTCGCCGCGGCGCCTTAGGGACTCGGGCTGGGTGACGGCTCAGTTTAGTGTTGAGTTCAAACTTGGTTGTTATCCGTTAGACTTGTCGTGAGTTATTTGGAAAGATTTTACTTGTTAGACATTTAAAGTATATTTACCAAAAATAAAATAGTACATGTTAAATTTATACACGTGCCTTAAACCGTTTAAGCAGCATTCAGTTGTGGGAGCAAACATGAATCAAAGAGCCCCTAAAAGTAAATATGAATATTTGCTAGGTTTATAAATATAATAAAGCCTTAGGGAAAAACTTAGATTTTAGAATTTTGTAATTTAATACAATGACTCTTAATTTTGAAAACCAAGGAACCACTAATATTCTACTCAGGACACAGAGGTCCTCATAAGACTTGGTCAGGTGGAGGAAGCTGCTCACTTGTGAGACAGTTAAGTAACAGGACAGATGATGTTCATGGTTGAGTGTTTCTGACGCTCCCGGCGCCGATCCTCTAGGAAAGGCCCACGTGTGTGTGTGTGTGTGTGTGTGTGTGTGTGTGTGTGGCCGAAGGAGGCACTCCACAGTGCCTCCCTGGCCAGAAACCGCAGTTCACGGAGACTGCATCTTGTTTTCTTTGCCATGGTTTTCTTCTGTGGTTGTGATTTTCTGCCTTTTCTTTGTCCCTGGGCTTCTGGGGGGAGCACCCCGTCAGTCCCCTGTCTGTGAGCAGCTGTGACGTCACTGCCCTTCCGCCTGCCCATCCCAGTCTGTCTGCGTGGGCCCGTGGGCTCCCCAGTGCGCGCGCCTCTGGCCTTGCTAGCTGCCCGGGCCGTCCTGCGAGCCCAGCTCTTCTGCCAGGCAGGCCGCCGGGGCTTGTGCCATGCCCCTGGCAGCTCCCTGGCCGGCGCAGGCGCGCTTTCTCCCTGGTCGCAGTGGACCGCTGGCCACTCCCTGCCTCCACACAACCACGCTCAGTGCCCACCACCAGGCTTTCTGTGAAGCCGTCCTCCGCCCTTCCCCCCGGGCTTCCCGCCGCTTCACGGCAGCCGCACGCGTAAGCTGTGAGTTCTTGCTTGTTCAGAACACATGGGACTGTTTGCAGGTGATGTTCTTGGCTTCACTTTCTTTCCTCGAGCATCTTGGAGGTCCGTCCTGCACTGTCCGGAGTGGGGGGGGCGGGGGGCATTGGCATGTCGTGGTGTCCTGAGGGCCTGTGCTGATGTCACTGGGCTGGGTCTTGGTGCTGAACGTTGTGGGTCAGTTTTCCCCGGAAGCTCAGGGCATCCCGAATGCATTCACTGAGGTCTTGTATTATTTTTAGGAAGATGTCTTGAAGTGTATTTAAGTGCCACTGTTTTGGTTTTCCCAGCCCAGACTCCAGCGAGCTGTGTGCTGGCTTCCTTCTACCGATCTTCTTCTTGTCTCTTGAGTTCTCTCCGAACATTTCCAAGATCTTTCCTCTTCTGCTGTGTTGTCTGCTTTTCTCGTCTCCATCCTCTGTGTGTGTGGGTCCTTTTTCTGTCTCGCCTCCCTCTTGGCGTCCTTTCACTCCCGTGTCCTGCCCTCCCCCCCGGGACCTCAGTTTCGGCTCTGCGGACTCTTCCGAGCTGGCGGCCACCCCAGGTTGGAGATTCTTACAGGGAGGCCGGTTCCGCTTTTTGTCTATAGCAAAGCCATGTCCGGATTTGCCTGAACTGCACTGCCCGGGGCTACCAGCAGGGGCTTCATGGAGCCCAGCGCAGCTGTGGCCCCTGTCTGTGTGGCCGTGGCCCCTGTGTCTCTCCAAGCCCAGGCTCGCTCAGGAGGCCACCCGCGCTGGCCCCCTGATTTCTGCCCTGGGGGCCTCTGCCCTAGGATGGGAGACCCTCCAAGCAGGTTTCCCTCGAGGAGAGGTATAGGTGAGGTCTGCCTTCCTGGCCGCAGCAGCACTCCTTCCTGGCCCCCAGGACGCCAGCCCTGCTGACGGCATCTCTGGAGAGGCTGGGTCCCAGGACACCTTGCCCTCGCAGCCCTATCTCCCACCCACCCTGTGATCTGGCACAACTTGCACAGTGACCTGGAGTTTGTGTGTCTTTCCTCTTTCTGGGTTTTGGTGAAAATGTAGTTTGTGTTTTATTTTTTCCTCTTTCCCTGTTCGGTCTGATTTCTAGAAGTGGGAAATTTCAGAACTAAGGGACAGCCATATTCTTGGTAGGACCTGAAGTCAGTTGTTAAAACTTCAGCCACGATTCTCACTGCTCTGGTCGGTTCCTGACCTCTGGTGAATGTGGTGGAGGGCTGCCTCACTCCTTTGTAGATCCCCTCCAGCACGTCCCCATACACACTGACATTGAGAGCCAGGGGCCTGGCGAGGACCCCCTCAGTCTGCTGGGGCTGCAGGTGAGCCGGCCGCTGTACCTTGACCCTCGGGCTGCCCCCCGTGCAAGAGAGCTTCGGGAGAGCTTCTCACCTCTGGTCACAGCGAGGGTAGGGGGAAACTTGGGGTCTCATCTGACACCCCTCAATGGTTGACGGTACCATTACCATGATCCCAGGGTCCCCTTTTTTCCAAGTATCCATCATGTGCAAGGGCCTTGACAGCCAGTGACTAGACCCAAGCCAGCCCCTTGCTTTGGGCTGTTTTGGAAACAGAGGTGCAGCTTTTCCTGTGAGCCTTTTGGAAGAGTTTGTTCTGGCCTCCTTCCTCACCAAAGTGGGATATAAATGCAGAATCTAGGGGCTTGTCCAGTGGCTGCACCCTGCTCCCTGTGTCAGGGTTGATCTTTGGGGATGCTGGTCACCACACCGTGTCCCAAAGCGGGGGTTTATCTGGCTTTAGTGACTTATTTGAATCTCTTGTTTGTCCTGCAGGAATAAAGAAGGACCCAGCCAAGGCCTTTGTGCCCAGGACTGTCATGATCGGGGGCAAGGTGAGGTGATGTCCTCTTTGCTCCTTGCTTGATATTTACCCTGAATGCACAAACCACCATGCTTTTTGTCCGTGCAGACTGTGACTCCACTGGAGCACCGGCCGCCCAGTGGGCTGGACACCACGGTGGCTCAGAGCCAGCATGAGCACGGACTGCCAGAGGCCCTCTCCTCTGCTTCTCCAGCTGTGCTTGTGGACTGAGTTGGTTCAGTGTCCATCAGCGCAGCAATAGGAGGGAGCTGAAGGGGACCCCTGCCTGCCAGGCACGTGACAGTGGGGGTCCCCAGCCCCAGCGGGCTTGCTGGCCCTCCATCTGATGGGGCAGTGCCCTTTCTTGCATAGCCACCACCCTTCCACACCTGTGCCCAGCTCTCAGGTCCCAGCAGGCTGCCCACTCACTCCCCTGCACTCGTGTGCTGAGTGGACATAGATGGCTGTTTGCTTCATCAGCCGGATGTGCACCTGCTGGGAGCTCAGCCTAGCTGTCTTTCATTTTATTCATGACGGTGCATGCTTTTGGACATGTGATCATGGAGTCCCAGTGTGTTGCCATTACTCCTTGATGGGTCTCCTCTTCGTGCTCTGTCCTCTAGGGCCTGCGTCCCCACCTCTCCCGCTTTTCCCCAAGAGCCTCAGCGTCATCTGAGAGCGTGAGGAACACTGTGGGGCACAGCTTCTCTATGGGGGCTATGGGGCGGAGCCCAGGCACTATCTGCCCCACCAGCTCAAGCACACATGAGGGTGGGTGGGAGGTATGAGCACCTGCCTGGGGCCAGCGAGCCTCAGCCAGCAGCTCAGTGCCTGTCGGTTCTTTTATCAGTATCCCAGGGTGCATTTCTTAGAGGCACGGGCTTTCGAACAGTTCTTTAAATGTTCACTATTAAAATTTTTCAGCCTAGAGAATAGTAGAAAGTATGGGAGTAATATCTATACACCTATCCCAGACTCCTACGGGACCATTTCACAGTCAATTCCAGACATAGTATCACTTCACCTCTAAATACTTGACACACATTCCCAATGATGTTTTCCTCCCAAACCACTACAGAAACAGACTCTTTTTAACACCACTACACGATTCCGTCTTCCCACGTAGATAGTAAAGTTACAAATGTCTGGAGCAGTTTGTTTGACTCTGGACCCTGGCAAGCGCCTCCCCTGGCAATTGCTTGCTGTCTGCTGCATCTTGTCATCGGTAGAGCTTCCCCCCATGCTTGCCTCTTCCCCCTCCCTGCAACTGATTTGTTACAGAGATTGGGTTGTGTGTCTTCCAGATAATCTGGCATGTTCTAGTATGTTCCTTAGTTCCCTGTGTTTCCTGTAAGTTGGTAGTCTAAAAGTCCTCCTTTTATCTTCTCATTTCTGAAGAACTGACTATACAGTCGGAGACAAGTCTGAGGCTGCCAGGCTTCAGCACAGGCTGAGGCGGCCGTTGGGAGAGGCTGTCTGCCAGACTGCATGCAGGACAGGCAGGGGGGCCACTCGGCCAGGCGTGACTTCAGCAATCCAGCACGGGGCCCCAGGACCCTCTTGAGGACCCTGCGCTGCCCTGAGCACAGGTGTGTTCATACTGAACTTGCCCTCCGTCTCCAGGCGGCCCCCGGTTACCACATGGCGAAGATGATCATCAAGCTGGTCACATCCATCGGCAGTGTCGTCAACCACGATCCAATTGTGGGCGACAAGCTCAAAGTGATCTTCCTGGAAAACTACCGAGTGTCTTTGGCTGAGAAAGGTAGGCCCAGGGTGGCCATGTTAGGAAAGCCCGCCCCTGCCTGGCTGTGATATGGGTGGTCATTGCTGGTGGGCAGATGAACTCTGCCCTGGACACCAGGCTCTCCCAGCTGGAGGGGGCCTTCTTCTAGCAGTGAAAGGCTTTGGGGAAGCGCTCTGCCCATCACCAAGTGCAGAGAATTACTCTCAACCTCAGACTTCCTTTGTCTCTGTACTTTCTCACTTCTGCCTGTGACCTCATTCCTCCCACTTCCTCTGCTCCCTGGCTTTCATTTCTGCTCCTAGAGCTTGCTCTTGCTGGCGGGATAGGCTACCAGGTCGGCCTCCTCCCTGCCTTCTCCCATCCCCAGAGGATGCTTCTGCTCTCACCACCGATGTGCTCTCAGGGTCATTACCAATTTCTGATCTGGGCCGGCACCTGCCTCTTCTGTCCTTTCCAAGGGCAGCTTAGGGCCTGACATTGCGACCCCTTGTTGAGAGGTCCGTCTGGGGCTGTTCCTCCAAGGAGGTATGCGGCCATCTGGAGAAGTTCCTGCAGCCAAATGTGCCTTGGAGCTGGGCGGGGCTTTCTAAACTGGCCCCTTCTGGAGGTCCTGGCAGGAACCAAGAGATGGGAAGCCTGAGCCTGGCATCCTGGCTCTGAGTAGTAGGTACTTCTGTAGCTCAGACTAGCTGCTGCCTTCTGCCCTGAGTAATGCTGTGCAGGCTGACTCGCTCTCCTCTCCCGCCAGCTCGGCCAGCTCTTCAGACCATCTCTGGTCCCTCGGCTGTCACAGACCGTATGTGGTTCAGGGTCAGTACTATGGTTAGTTCTTCACTGAGCTTCTGACACATCTTTGTCAAGCTCTTTGCCGCCTGGAACCTCCCCCTCCTCACTGTTATTTGGGGCCGGCTGGCTCCTGGACATCTTTAGAACGACTTGGGGTGCCTGGTCTAGGACATCAGAGCTGGGGGTCTGGGTCCCGCAAGTGCCCCCCAGCTAGCTCCGTGTAGAGCTGCATGGGGGCTGGGGATGTCCGTATCTCTTTACCCTGGCTCCTTGCGCTGGACCTTGAAGAAGGGCTGGACTCTGCTCTTTGCTGACCCCGAGTGCCAGCCACTGGGCTGGGGAAGCAGCATCAGCTCCATGGACAAGATGAGGATGTGGGGGCAGGGATGCCAAGGCAGGGTAGGAAGATGTAGCTTTCCCACCAGCCACGTCTTGGAGGCACAGGGAGCCCACCCTTGGGAGAAGCCTCAGAGCCCTGGCATTTGGGTCATCATGGTGGCTGGCTATGCCCAGTCTGCATACAGCATAGAGTAACTCGCATACATGTGAACACAAGAGAATTGCCCCACCTTTGTAGTTCTCTGGTTCCATGAGTCCAGATTCCTCTTGAAGTGCTCGAAGAAGCCTTATAGGCTGATGGCATGAGACACAACTCCTGTCGGGATGAAAGGGAATGATAACACCAAAAGCCAGAACCAGGGGCCCCCAGACTATGGCTGGGCCTGGACCCTGGAAGGTTCCAGAATAAAGGTCTTTTTTGACCTGGGGTCTTCTCAGGAGTTACCCTCTTGGCCTCAGGCTGCTCTGGATCAGGAAGGGAAGCCCTTACAGGCCAGCAGGGTGGGCTGCAGGGCTCAGGCCCATCCTGGACTGAGCAGGAGGTGGTGCCTACTCTGGGAGCACCAGCCATGGGCTGGAGGAGGGCGTGTGGTGTCCCTACACAGTTCCCGTGGCTCTCACGCTGTGAGCAGCCTGTGGTGACGGACCTTATCGCCCATCTGCTTGCAGTGATCCCCGCAGCAGACCTGTCGCAGCAGATCTCCACTGCAGGCACCGAGGCCTCGGGCACGGGCAACATGAAGTTCATGCTCAACGGGGCCCTCACCATTGGTACCATGGATGGAGCCAACGTGGAGATGGCCGAGGAAGCTGGGGCTGAGAACCTCTTCATCTTTGGCATGCGTGTGGAGGATGTCGAGGCCCTGGACCGGAAAGGGTGTGTGTCCCTCCCCGTGCCATCAGGGCACTGCTCAGGGCACTGGGGGGTGGGAGAGCTGAGAGCACTCCGGGAGCCAGGCCCATGCTTGCTGGGGTGAGGCCCGCCTGGTGGCTGGGGGTGGCTTTGGGCATGTTGGCTGAGCCCGCTCCTGTCCTGAGCCAGGGGTGGTCTCAGACCAGGGGTGTGCCCGGGACAAACGCCCTGTCACTCACCCCGGAGGCTGACATTCGGCCCCACCTCCCCACAGGTACAATGCCAGAGAATACTATGACCGCCTGCCCGAGCTAAAGCAGGCCGTGGACCAGATCAGCAGCGGTTTCTTCTCTCCCAAGGAACCAGACTGCTTCAGGGACGTGGTCAACATGCTGCTGAACCACGACAGGTTCGTTCTCACGTCCCTCCCCACTGGCCAGTCAGACACATGGGTTTTCCTGGTGGGCCAAAGACTACACTTTGGGGATGACCTTGGACCATGATGAGACTTGCTCCCTACCCCAGCCCATGGGCAGAGCCTCGGACCGCCAACCAGGGCCTGCAGGGGCCTCTGGAGGTGCTTGCCTGCTGGGGGGCCCTGTGGTAGGGGTTGCCGGCTCCATGGTCCAGCCCCAGGCCCCCCCCAGCACTGGCTGACTCCCCCGAAGGGCTTGACAGGCAGAAGGCGGTTTCCTTTGGGGCTGGTCGGAGGTGATTCCTGATCCCGTCTTCCCCAGGGAGAATGGGAGCGTGGGCAGGATGCCCAAGAAACCTCTGGGAGGCGGGGCAGGGTGGGGGCACTGTGCCTCCACAGCCAAAGTCCCACAGTCCCAACTGAGGCAAATGTTGGCCGATGGTGACACCAAGTGATTCAAGTGGAATTAATTTGAGACAGAAATTACGTTGTAATTAATGTTTTATTACAACGCATGGACACAGGGAATAACATCCATGTTTCCAGAAGCACTAATTTACAGCAGGTGAGCACCGCCACTTGTCTTTTCGTGACATTTCTTTGCTCCGCCCTGTTGGTAAGAGCTGAATCCGGTCAGTGCTGAGAACTGACCTCTGTTCCGCTCTGAGCTGCTGTTGGGTTGCTTTCATCTGTTGCTCGCTGGTGGGTGCTGGGGGCCGGCGTCAGACCAGATCGCGGCGCCACTCAGCACAGGGCAGGGAGCTTAGCCCTGGCTCAGACTGGGATCAAGGAAACATTGTTCATGGGTTCATGAATGGTCTCTGTGCCTCAGCCATGAAAAGAAATGCAGTTACCTGTTCATAAATCCTGGTGTTGTCCACAGCATCCTTCCCTTAGATCTCCAGTTCTCGCCCAGTTGGGCTCCAGGAAGGGATGGCCAGGCAGAGCCTCGCTGTCAGCCTGTGCCCCTTCTCTGGCAGGAAGCCCCTCAGCCTGTGCCGCTCGCCCCCCCCCCTGCGTGGGGAGGGTGTCTTGTAAACAACTACTTCTTGAAAGGGCTGAAAACAAGGTTTTTGTAGAATAGTATCCCCAGGACAGAAGTACTGCTCCTAGAGCCACCTCTGTGGCCAGGTAGACTCCATTATCCCAAAGCATAAGGACCTGGATGGCCGAGGCCTGGTGACCTCTGACTCACCACCTGCCACAGTGGCCTAGCCCCCTGTCTCCCGTTTCAGGTTCAAGGTGTTTGCAGATTATGAAGCGTACGTGGCATGCCAGGCCCAGGTGGACCAGCTGTACCGGGTATGGTTCTAGGGCCCGGGGGTGGCCCGGGCAGGGGAGCAGCAGGGGAGATCTATGAGGTCCAGTCCTGGGAGGTCACCGTTCACCTTGTGGCCCTGGGCAGGGTGGCTGGGGGCTTGGTGGGCTAAGTTGCATCATGGGCATGGGCTGTTCAGGGCTTCTTAATCATCTTCCACTCAGACGGTCTCTGTTGTCCTTCTGCTGTCCCGTGGTGAGGCTGGTGCCTTGTGACCCCTTGGGCCCAGGCCGCTCTCCACACTGGCATGTTTCCGCACAGCCCCTGAGCAGGACAGGAGTTTCCTTTCTGCGGACGGCAGAGGTGATGGGCTGTGCCCTCCTCCCCCCGTGGTCTGAGCCTCAAAGCGGGTGTGATCGGGAGGGTGTGGGGAGCGGGTGCGAGCCAGGAAGACTTGTGTGTGCACACAGAAAGCCTGTGTTTAAAAGTGAGAATTAGAGTACTTTCTTGGAAAGGTGCAAGGTGCAAGCTTCCATGTTAAGCAGAGTGAGGGACCCATAGCTGTAGGGACAAGCCTTTCTAGGGCCAGACCACTGTAGCCAGCTCCCCACTCCTTGGTAAAGGTGGACAAGAGGGGACCCCTGATCCCAGTTTCTGTGTGGAGCATGTGTCCCTGAGGGAGTGGGCATGTCCATGTGGGGCCTCGTAGGAAGACCCAGGGCCTGAGTTTGAGGGGGTGCAGGAGGGTGTCCCTTGGTACCCACTTCCCTCCCCTTGCTGGGGTTTTCCGGACTCCCAGCCTTTGTGTCTCACTGGGGGTGGCAGTGGGAGAGGATTCTGGCTGTGGTGGCGTGAGTCTGCAGTGGTGGGTCCGATGGATTCTTCCCCAGGTTCTTGGATGAGGCCTGTGGGATTTGTGTTTCTGATGTGTTGTGGTCCTGGCTCCCATCCCCCACCTTTAGGGAAGCTGTCTGCCCTTGGGGGACCCGTGAAAGAACAGGGGTGCCTGGGGCACTAAGTGACCAGGCAGGGCTCTGGGGGGGCACCTTTGCTCCCCTGACGTGGGCCTCAGCAGAGTCTGCCCTTTCAGGGAGGCCCCTCTTGATGCTGGCTTAGTCTGGGGGTAGTTGCCAGGCTCTGGGGGAAGCCGTGGACGGGGGACCACTTGGTCATTTTCCCTGGATCCACTTGGCGAGTACTCACCTGGTGGTGTTTCTTTGTAAGGTGGGCTGTGCCACAGAGTGCTTGGCACATTTTGAGTCCCAGGGTCTTCTCAGGCTTCTCACCCCCGTACCTAGTCATTTGGTAGCTTTTCTGGTCGGTGCGGGCCCCTGTTTCAGTGAGCTGTTGACTGCAATTTCGTCTTTGATCATCAGGCTGGCCCAGAGGCTGAGAACCCATCTGGGAACAGTCCTCAGGTTCTGGAAGTGCAAGCTGTCTTGCCTGGTACCTGAGATTACTCAGCCTCTTCTTCCCTCTGCAGAACCCCAGGGAGTGGACCAAGAAGGTCATCAGGAACATCGCCTGCTCGGGCAAGTTCTCCAGTGACCGGACCATCACAGAGTACGCCCGGGACATCTGGGGCGTGGAGCCCTCTGACCTGCAGATCCCGCCCCCCAACCTCCCCAGGGATTAGGCACTCTGGCAATGGTCTGCTGTTTCTGGAGGGCCATGGGGATTGTGCTGGTGGCTTGGGGTGGGCAAGGAAGGAAAAGCTCAAAAAGGGAGACGCTCCCCGGTTTCCTGCAGGAAAGCAGAGCTTGCAGCCCTGCCCAGGGCAGCTGGCCCCACAGCTTTAGCTCACCTGCCCCAAGGAGGTGGGGAAGGTGGAGCCACCAGCTGGGCTCCTCTGAGACCTTGCACGCACCTTGCAGTGAGCTTGTTTTTAGTTTTGAGCCTCTGGATTCTGGGGTCTGGGCAGGTAGCTGTGGCGAAGCCTGGGGAACTGTGTTTTCTGCACCACACGTGCTGGCCCACTGCATGGGCTTCCGGCCTCCTGGCCGTGCTAGTACTCTGGCCAAGCCTGCCGCTGCTGAGTGGGTGCTCTGGCCCAGGGTTTCCAGACTGATCAGATAAAGGGGCCCTAGGATGACTGAGGGGTACATGAGGAGGACACCTGTGCCCGACATCTAGGGGTCCTTGGCTAGGACAAGGCTGACTGATGCAGTTAGCTTGGTTTTGCTTTTTCAAGAGGATAATCAGCTTCCCAGGAAAATGAAAGTAGCTGAAGCCTTTTCTTGTTTTAGCAACTAAAAATTGTACTTTTGAAGTTTTGTGCTGGGGAGGCAATGCTGGGATGTGTTGCTGAGCTCTCGGGAGCCCAGGGTGGGGCGCTGCCTTGGCTGGAGAGGCCAAGTGCCCCTGCCGTGTCCTGGGGCCTGCCTCTCTTCTCCCTCCATTTCCACCAGTGTGACCGCCTTGGAAAGGACTGAGCAGGCCCAGAGAGCCCACTTTCCACTCTGCCTGGATGGCAGGCTGGTGGCGGGAAGGGTGGGTGAGCCTCTCTGAGCTGAGAGAGCCAGGGAGCAGGCTGGCGCACTTCACCACGGGCTTAATGGAGACACCGGGGACAGCACCCTTCCAGAGGCTCTCTTTGCATGCTGGATCTGGATGGCACAGGGCTCTGCCCTCACCCCGGGTCCTGATGGCTCACAGAATCAGGCCATGGAGGATTTGCTCACGTGCGCACTTCACCAGAGCTGCGTGGAGGTCTGCTGGGGAGGCCCACGTTCTGGGGCTGTGGTCATACCCCCACCACCTTCCGCTACCCCATTTCTTAGGCTGTGTGTGACCATCACTGTGCCACTTGCTGTTACTGCCTTGTGTGAGAAACCGATTAAACCTTCCTGCCTGTACTTGGTTGAGCTGGCCTATGTTTCATTCTGTGCTGAGGGAAGGGTGCGGGCTGGGTCCCAGGGGCAGGCCTCAGACCCTCTCTCGTAAGGGCCCATCACTCTGGGATTAAGGACAGACCAGCGAGTGGGACTTACTTAGGGGATGTGTGCTTGAACCACTAGCTCGTAAAAGAATCATCACATCTGTTGTTGTATAAACTGTCATCTGGGTGTCGGCATTGTTGGTGCAAATTGCACCTGTCCTACACCAGCCACTCCTGGCCCTTGGACATGGAATGCCCTGGGGACCAGAGCATCGCCCCCTAAATTGTGTCGCTGCAGGCTGAATCGAAAGCTAGGAGGGACATGAACTTGGGGCTGTTACACGAACAAGCTGAGAACTGCAGGACACCGGAGCACCGTGGGCCCTGCTGGTCTTGGGTGGGGGCCGGGGGTGGGGGTAGGGCACTGAGCAGCTCCCAGGACACCTGCGCTTCCAGGAAACACATAGTAACTGCAGAATTTATAGCTGTGCATGTCTCGATCTGTTTTTTTCCCCCCCAAGGACTGGTTTTGTAATCAGCAGAGGTCTGTCCTAGCCCACAGTTTAAGCTAGGTAATAATCTAAGAAGCCAGCAGGTAGGGGCATCTGGACCTGATTAGCCGACCCGATGGCCCAGCAGCTCACCAGCCCCTTCAGTGCCTTCTTTTCAGTCTGCTTCAGTCTGCCTGTCAGACACCTATCAAAATACCAACAGCCTGTATTTTGCTTCCTAGCCTATCTCACCCCCCCCAATAAGGACCTGCGGCCGTTCTCACAACATTGAAACAAGATGACAAACTGACCTCAGGAGAGTCGGTTCACGTTTCAACCCATTTAAGAAAGGCATGGTTTCCCCAATGTGAGAATCACTGTAGGCAGGTTGAAGATGCCTCAGAAATGAGGAGGTGTCCCCTGCCTTGGCATCTGGAACCCCCGCAGCCTGCCCACAGCTGCTACGAGAGACCACAGACCTTGAAGAACAGGCAGGCTGGTGAATGAAGCCCTCTGTACACCCCGGGGAATTTCTGAGCTGCCAAGACAGGAAAGTCCCTGAGCCTTAGGACCTGGGAGAAGTCCAGCCATCAGGAGAAGTGGGTCCCAGGTGGGTTTGCATCCTCTGTTGTGCGTCACGCCTCTGTACCTGCGCCGCCGGGGGCGGACAGTCCTCGGGGGGGGGGGCAGCTTGAAACCCCCTTTATTAAACCATGCACCTTCTCACTCTTGGGTTACTTAGCTGGGATCCAAGAATCTGACCCTTCACCAGCACTGGGGCCGATGAAAAACAGGATCTTTAGAGGGTGCCAAGTGGGGGCAGCAGAAGGGCAGGGAAGGTGACGGGGGTAGAAGTAGTGCAGGGGAGACTGATTTGACAAAAAGCTGAAAAACACAAGAGCCCCCTGCCCCCACCCAGTGAGTGAACGAGGTGGTGCTCATGGGCTAGAACTAGAGACCCCAAACTCCAGTGCCCCATGTCCTTCCATGAACTCATGCCAGGGGCTCACTTGGGGTCTATGGGTGAAACCCCAGAGCCTGCCGACCAATACCAGCATCCAGCAAGCTTGCTACAGCGTGAGGTTGAAGGGGGCCTGTATTTTAGGAACATGCCCTCTGTCCCATCTGGAGAAGTGGTCCCCCCCCTTGAACACACCTTGTCCTGGGACGACAGCCCTCCTTGCACGGGCCTCCACATCTGAAAAGAAGGAGGAAAGGAAGGCCCAGGATCCCTCCTTAGAGAGCTGCCCCTCCTCCCATAGGCTGGGCTCTGAGCATGGCCTGGGGGCAGCTGGAGGTGTCACTGAGAACACAGCAGATAGACCACCACCACGAATTTATTCTTAAATAAATGCTCAGTCTAAGGCCAGGTTAGGCAGACAGGTGAGCAGAAAGTGGAGGAAGTGCAGGTCACGGGCACCCCCCCCGCTGTGAGCAGTGGGGGCCCGCTTGGGGAGGCAGGGACTGCCAAGGTAGGCAAGCAGGGTGCTCCGGGTGCAAGGGGCTGACGGAACCATTACAGTCCATTCTGCGTGTGCCGGGAAGGGACAGAAGAACTGATATGGCCACAGTCTCACCGGTGGTGCTGGAAAGCTCAGTGTGGTCCCGAGACCCCACGCCTCCTGCCCCAGGCTCCCCATGCCCAGCTCAGCAAGCGTGGGATCGACCAGCCACCAGCTGGCCTGCTCTGTCACTGTCTTCCCAACAAGAGCTCGGGTTGAGTGGCAACCAAGGGGAGAGGGGATCCCATGCCTGCAACCTGTGTTTTCCACAGAGATCCAAGCTCCCAGCCACCCAAGGCAGGTGCCTCAGGTCTGCCAGGCCTCCTCCGCCTGCCCCAGCTGGCATCCAAGTCCTCTCTCCGGGGGCACTGAAGACACTGGCAGCCCTGGGCCCCAGGGTGCCAGGCTGGCCGGAGCAAAGGGGAGGAGGGCAGAGGTCTTCATGCTCCTTCAGGCAGCAAGACTCAGTGCTGGCGCCCAGGTTCTGACTTCCCCAGGAATTCCCTAGACGAGATGAGCACAGCCATCAGCCAAACCCTGAGCATATGCCAGAGGTCTTGCCTCCTCCGTCCTCAAACAGCCCATCCCAGGAGGCTGGGAAGGATCCTGGAGGACCACCCCCGCTCAGAAAGCCTGAGCTAAATAAACAGGGTTAAATCCCGACCCCATAGGAAGAAAGGCCAAGCAATGGGCTACTATTCTTTGTTCTAAACTCTAGAGCTGTACTCTGGGCTGTATTTTCTATGACCTATTCCTTTTATGCTGGAAAAATCACAACCCTAGAGCAAACCCATACTCTTTGAGCTCACAGTCCCCTCTCAGCAACCCAGGTCCTTGATGCAGGAAATGGCAAACCACTGAAGAAATGCAGCTTTCCCTCTGGAACTGCTGAGGCAGCCACAGAAGAGCTGAAATGTGAGGGCATAAAACGCCCTGAGGACCCATTCCAACCCCTCCAGGCTCAGCAGCCACAGGAAGGCGAACTTGCACCATCCCTACCTCAGCATCCTGCAGGCCACATGGCCAGGAAGTGGTGGGCTGCCTGTGCCTGGGATGGGAGGCCAGGAGGCCGGGCAGCACCTGAGTGATGGGATTGGTCCCTGCACAAAAGCCCAGGCTCCTGAGGTGGGGCCAGGCCTCATCCAGTTCAAACTGCCCTTTGCCACCATCTCGCCCTGCATGCTTGGGCTCTGCACCTGGGCCCGGGATGTGGGCCATGGACCCAGCCGCTGTCCTGGCCCCAGACCATGACAACTGTGGCAGAACTGGGAGCACAGCCTCTTTTCATGGAGCAGCTGAGGACAGACAGGCTTTTGAGAGCTGGCCCAGAGTCTCCTGTGTGCCTATGCACGGGGGCAGGACCTGACGGGTGTGTGGGAAGAGGCTGAGGCCTGACCCACAGCACCTGGGGTGCATGTCTGCACGCTGGATGCTCCCGAGTGGTGTGTCTATGCAGCCTGCACAACCCACACCACAGGGAAGTCACTTCCCTGTGTGATCACGGGAGTGCTTCAGGAGAGAGGGGCCATAAACACTCAACCCCTCTCCATGGAGATGGAAGGCTCCCGAGTCACAGCGACTCCTGGCCCCACCGAGGCACACTTAGGGGGTGCTGCATGCCTGGCCTGAGCTATCCCCCCCATGGCGAGTCTGTGGAAGGGGGGAGAAGCCTCACCGCAGTATCCGTGGAAGTTCAGGGCTCTTGTAGATATACTTGTGCCTGTAGCCGAGGTCTGAGTGAAAGGGGATAAACTGAACTTTGAAGTCTCGGAAGCTTCGGGATGGAGCAGCAATGTTGTAGAGCTGGGACGAGGGAGAGACAGGTCAACACCACAGATGGCAGCCCTGCCTGGGGGTCTCCCTGCTGCAGAGACCGGTCAGCGGCTGCTGCCTCTGAAGAGCAACCCAAGCCCCCACCAACAACACTGCTGCCCGCAGCCTGCAGGGCCAGGGCGGGGGGCACGCGTACGGACAGGCCTGACGCTCGAGACCCTCTGTCCTAACGCCTCTCTCCCAGATGGCCCCTCCTCAGGGCGCAGCAAGGCGGATGAGCCAGCCTCGTGGGAAGAGCTGCCCGCCATGCAGTGGTATGGAGGCCTGCGTGCCAGAGCAGCCCGGAGGGCTCATCCCAGGGCTGGGCTGTCTGCCTCAGACTTTGCCGTGTGCCTGGGTCACAATCTGTCCTTCCTCAGCCCCTTCCTCCCGCCCCAGAGATGGCCGGGCTCTGCAGGTCTGAGTGGCGGTTGCTGCGCAGTCCCCTGTGCCCAGACTCACTGGAGGGAGGGGACTCGGTAGTGCTGGAACCCACTGGCACCCAGGTTTCACTCCCTCCAGGCTGACCCTGCTCCTCACCATCGCCACGCCAGATGGTGCTATCTCCCACAACACTCACCCACAAACCGAATGCTGCTTCCTGGCAGCAAAGGCAAAGCAAACTCAGCAAAAGCAAACACAGAGGCCCCACAACAGCATGGTATTCCTGACATCAGTCCCATCCCAAAGGCAAGAGAACAGACAAGAGGTTCTGTATCAACTCTGCCAACTGGGGCCCCCGCATGGGGGTGGGGGATCCTCTTCCTCGAAGGTTCTCTCCCTCCAGCCTGGCTGAGATCCTGGTAGTCAAGTCTCTGTCAGGCCAGGACCCCTGCACTGGGACCGGGAGCCATCTGCTTATTTCTCACGTTTCCTCTTGCCATCACCGAAGGTATTGGTGACGAAGTCCACACCCTCTAACTTACCTTTGCTGATAAGACATCACCTGTTGGCCCCCACCCCGACCCTGCTGCTGACCTCTCCCACGCTTCTCTTCTTCTCGAGGGGCACCTGGCACCAGCAGCACCCCTCCACACCCGCGGATGCCCGGCCCAGCCTGAACGGGAGCCGGCTAGATGCCTACCCGCACCAGGGCTGGCGCCCGGCTCTCACCTTTCGGCCAAGCTGGAAGGGCACGACCGGGTCGTCCTCAGCGTGCAGGATGAGCAGCGAGCAGGATATGTGCTTCACACTGCGGGAGGAGATGGAACTGGACCAAGGCCCCGGGGAGAGGTCTGGGGTCTCTGGGCCCACCTGGGTTTAGTGGGGGCTTCACCATGGTGCTCAACAGCTAGAACTCAACTGGCTTTTCACTAGAGAACTACAAGCAGATTTCTCAGATGTTTCTACCACCATCTGTTCAGTCAAGTCTAGAGATCGATTCATTCACCAAATCAGGCCCCTGCGTATTTTTTGGAAATTGAAAATGATTTATGCCACTAGACCTATTCTTTAAAAGTTACAGAATGGTATTTACAAACCCAGTAACAGAGGTGGGCCAAGAAATTTATTGCAAATGAAGGTCACTAGAAATGTGTTGGTAAAAAAGCCCACACCCTCTAACCTGTCTTCATTGAAAATGACATTTAAGGTCACCCTGAACGTTCACAAATAAGTTGACATTTTCAATAGGTTCACACGATCCAAACCCGCCAGCAAACCACGGATGGGCTGTGGGACTGGACAGGCCCCAGAGTGTCTGGCTTCCCCTCACTGAGCAAGCCCGACTTCAGGCAGGACCTGGGCCAGAAGGCTCGCCACCCCACGGACCCAGCCCATCTGGTGACCTGTGCTTCTGCTTGCGGCACACACCTGCGCTCTCCCTGCATTCTGCTTCCAGGGGGGAGTGCTTCTGCTGCAAGGGTCACATTTTGAGAGTGGAACAGCCCATCTTTTCAGGATTTCCACTGTAAGTAGTCTGTCCTAACCCTGATCCACTCTAGAAAACGCCTGGTTCACATGCTGTCACCTTAGAGCTGCCCAAGTGGGGGCTTGTGACTTCCTATGGGTAAAATACTGCCATCCCCTCAATGCTCAGCCGGGAGCAGGGCCAAAAGGTGGCTTTGGGGGCCCCAACACTCACTGTGGTGCTTGCTGTTAGAACCCAGTTTCTTCAGATCATTCTTGAAGTTCCAAAACAATAATATTTATAAACAAGCAGGTTTTTTGCTTATGTCTGTTCAATTTTAGTTTGCTCAATTTTTAGAACCAAAACAAATAATTAAAGGGAAAAATATTCCATTTTTTCACATTTATTCCAGAGTGTATTTTTTTAAATGTTAACTGAATATTTATTTTAAGATTTATTTATTTTAGAGAGAGAGTGAGTGGGGGGGGAGGGGCACAGGGAGAGAATCTTCAAGCAGACTCCCCACAGAGCCCGACGTGGGGCTCAATCCCACGACCCTGAGATCAAGACCTGAGCTGAAAGCAAGAGTTGGCTGCTCACTTGACTGAGCCACCCAGGCGCCCCAATAGAAATATATTTTTTAAAGATTTTATTTATTTGTCAGAGAGTGAGCCAGAGCACAAGCAGGCAGAGGGAGAAGCAGATTCCCCTGCTGAGCAGCGAGCCTGATACGGGGCTCGATCCCAGGACCCTGGGATCATGACCAGGGCCGAAGGCAGCCGCTTGACCGCCTGAGCCACCCAGGTGCCCCTAAATATTTTTAATAGTGAACTTTGTAACATCCTTCTACAACCGAACAGAAATCAAACGGCTGAGGCGGTGTCATTGTTTGAGTAATAGTCTCCTCATTGCTCTAGAACCTGTCAGGAATTCTGATTCTGATGGACAAGTTTCAAATAAAACAACCACAGGGACATGTTGTCTTCCTGTTGCTTTCATGCCATCATGGCCTTTTCCAATCCCTTCTCTCTCGGCTGCAGCTCTCGGCCTGACTTGCCCTTTACAGAGGTCTGATGGTTAGAGAAGAACCCCAGTATGCAGAATTCCATCCTATGTGGTTAAGGTGACTAGTCCCGGGGGTTCTCAGTGATTTTTTTAAATTGAAAAATGAGGTATTGGGGTGCCTGGGTGGCTCAGTCGTTAAGTGTCTGCCTTTGGCCCGGGTCATGACCCCAGGGTCCTGGGATCGAGCCCAGCATCGGGCTCCCTGCTCTGCGGGAAGCCTGCTTCTCCCTCTCCCACTCCCCCTGCTTGTGTTCCCTCTCTCACTGTCTCTCTGTCAAATAAATAAAATTAAAAAAAAAAAAATCTTAAAAAAAAGAAAAATGAGGTATTGTAGTAGAGTACTCACTTTTCATCATTTGCAAATTTAATTCCACTGCTTGTAATGGGGTCGAGGAAGAACCAGTCAAACCCAGGAAAATAGCGATATATCTGAAGGTGACATGGAAACAACGTGCAGAAGCATCAATTAAAACAGCCACGGAGAAGGCTGAGGTTGAGGGTGGAGACAGAGGGTGCTGAGTGCCCAAGAGTCTCCCCAGCTTCCGAGTGGACCGACCTGAGGCCCCACCAGAGCTGTGCTGGGGCACCCCGCTGCCCCAGACTCTGTGCTTAAGAGGCTCCCGAACTGGCCACACGTGGCTGCCCACAAAATGGGCCCCCACAGCTCCCAGCAGCAGCCGGGCAGGACCGGCTCAGAGACCGTACTTCCCACAGACGTGAGGGCTTCCACCCCTGGAAAAACAGGGGTCCATGTGACTTGGGAGTAAAGGAACATCAAAGAAGTAAGACTATAGAGGACTCCTCCTGTCTGCAACAGAGCACTGTGAGGTCAGGTGGGGGACCGACACAGCCCCCCAGAACGGGTGGCCAGCCAAGAAGCACTGGGACAGAAGAAGACACAGAGGAGCCCCCTCTGGGCCCGGCTTGCAAAAGGAGGTCTCAATCCTGGCAGGTGAGGAGGTTCTCAGTCACCCTAGGATCCCCACCAGGGTTCACTCAGGGTGTCACCTGGAGACACGACTGGGAGAGCCTGGCTGCTGAGCACCATCTATGCGGACAGGGAGCAGGGACGCCCACTGGGTCCACATCTGCGGAAGCAGCCAAGACAGCAGCTGCCCGCCTGGGCTGAGCCCCACGGGGCAAGGACGCCAGGTCAGCAAACCACGCCTCAGACGCAAGGCCTCCCGGGGGTCCTGCCGTCTCCGGACTACCCAGCTGTGAACCCGTCCGTCCGCCTGGCTGCAGAGTTCTAAAATTCCCAGGCAGCTCTGTGGTCAGGCCAGTGCCCTGCACTAAACAAGGATTAATTTTTATATTTTCTTAAGAGTTACCTTGATAGTAATTATTTTAATAATAAAAATAAGTCAATTTTTAGTAAGATCTGTACTTGCCACTGAGAACGGATGGCTCTTAGCTTCTTCACGTATATTAGTGAATGGAGATTCCAATATAAGGGCATCTGGAGGTGTCTCTAAATAAACAAACAAGGGGCTGTGAGGTGAACAAGAAGCCCCCACGGACGCCCATGGGAGAGACTGGTCCCCCAGACTGGACCGTGGATCCCAGGCGCCACCCCCACTAGCCGCTCCCCCCCGCCCCAGCCAGCCTTGCCCCACAGACGCTCCTGCACGGTAGGTACGTAAGAAGGGACCACCCAGGGGACTCTCAGGTGGCTGTGATTTGCTCCCAAGAACCACATTTACTGAAGCTGTGTATCAGGAGCCCAGCCCTGATGCGGCTCTCCCAGCTGCTTGAGAACCCATGGGGAACACAGGCTGGGGTCCACTGGGGGTTTACCCAGACCCAGCCTCCAGGCCCAGCCCACAGGGCTCCGAGACGACACCAAGCCCTGTTGCTGTGCTGCTCGTCCATCAGGGCCCACCTCCCAGGAACCCACAGCGGAGCCTGGGGCGCGGCGAGTGTGTGCAGACACGCCGTGCGCCCTGCCTGAGCCCTGGGACCAGGAGGGGCCCATGCCTACCCAACCAGCACTCATACCTCCACACAAGCTCCTACCTCGCTCGCAAAGGCGCCGCACCAGATTTGTTGCCACTCTGAAAAGGGAGGAAGAAACAGTTCAGGTGAATGACGACCAAAGTTGTCTGAGATGAGACTGTTCTAGTCTTGTAAGTGACCAGAGAAGCTGTGGGATCTGTGAAGCGGCTGGTGGGGTTTGGGGCTGGGGGAGGGTGTGGACAAAGATGCCCCAGGACTGTGACTGGGCCCTGCTGCCCCTGCCATCAGCCACCCTCTCCGACTGGGATGGCAATGAAAGCCCCCAGAGCTCTTGCCGTCCCAGGACCACACTGGGCAGGTCCCATGCAGACAGCTGTGGCAGGATGGCCTGCTCCCCGCTCTGCCCGGGCCCCTCTCTGTAGGCATGCAGCTCACTCTCCCGCAGGCCCCATCCCAACTGCAGCATGCCATCCAAGGTGAGCAGCAAGGGGAGGAAGGAGCCACAGCCACTGCACCCAAAGGAAAGGCCACTGGAAAAGGGATGGCTGCTGAAGGCCTCAGGACTCCAGGCACTGACAGCAGCGCTCCTTTTAGAAGCACTCTCAACCTTCCATCAGCAGAAACGATGCAGGCAGCCCCAAATGGAATATTAAACTGCCTCCCCAAACTCGGCAGATGTAGGAAGGGAACCACCCACTGCCTCCCCTAAGTTCTCTGGTAAGCCAAGAACAGACTAAGTGGCCAAGCTGTTCACAAACGTCCCTAGTCTGCATGTGATCAAAGCCCCAGCCCTCAGGCTTGCCAGCCAGCACCTGTACTCCAAAGCCAGGCGATGCAAAGCCCGAGTGCCCAGTCTCATTCTGCTCTGAAGACATCTCCCTGAGGCACACCCTGGGACTGAGACGAGTGTGCCCCTCCTCCCTGCAGAGGGACACGGCCACCCCACAGCTGCCTGTGTGTGTGTCTCAGGTCACTTCTTCGGTTGAGGAGTTAAAGTCGCTCAAGCTCTTCATGGTCTTTTGTGGCACTTCATCCCCTGCCCCCACCATGGGAATGAGGGACAAGGCTTGTTGGGACTCATGGTGTCATGGGATCCAGAAGCCACCAGGGCACTTTTGGAGAGACCGAAACGCCCCATGAAGACCTGCTTCCCCATGGCTCCACCATGCTGTGAACTCACCCAGTGCCTAGGGAATGACCCCAAATATACACAGGGTTGTCTCCACTTCTTGCTTTGATCCAGTCAAAAACATGAAGTGCGTCATACGTCATGCCTCGCTCTGATGGCGTTCCTACTGAGTCACCCCAACCTGGCGGGGGAGAAGCAGCAAGAGGAGGAAGTCAAACCCAGCCCATGGAACCTCTTGACAGGCAGGCTCATCTTCTCCTTTCTCAACAGGCAGCCTAGGCCTGTCCTGGGCAACAGAAGTCTCTGCTACCATCATTCACAACCCCATGCGAGGGGAGTCTGGACAAGCCTGCTCCTACTTCTACTTCCTCAGCCAGCTACAACCCCTGAACCCAGACAGCCATCCATACACCCTTATCTGAGTCCCGAAGAACAACTGCACAGACAGGGCAATCAGACCCACAGACTCCTGTGGGCAGATGGTACAGCAAACTCCCCAACCCTTAGGGCTTGCTGAGAGCCGGCCCAAGATGAAGGGCCAGTGAGACCCCAGCCTGCCCAGGAGCCCTTGCAGAATAGGAGCATTCCCAGGGGGGGTCCCTGAGCCCAGTTTGGATTCCATGGCCAGCTGTAGCCCAGCTAAAGACAGATGTGGGGAGTCAAGCTGGGGGCGGGGGCAAGATTCCAGGCTCAAGGCAACTCTGACCCAGAAAGGGAAGAGGCTGTTAGAATAGCAGAGAAAAGTTAACCATCTCTGCCTGCATCTTCCCCCGGGGCCCTCCCCCCAGGCTCTTGGAAAGGGTAAGTGCCACTGTCATTTCTAGCAACTCAGCAGTGAGTCATCATCAAATGATCTGAAAGCACCACAAGGCTCAGAAAGAGCCAGTTCTGCTGCATAAGCAAAACCCACAATTAGTGGGCACAATAAGCCACCTCCCCTGGTCATCCCAGATGCCAGATGAGGGAAGGGACTACGTGAGAGACAAGGCCATCCTGAAAGGTTCAGGGTGTGGATAGGAGGAAGGGACACAGAGACAGAGACTGGGAGAAGTGGAGCTTAGAAATGCAGAGACTTGATGAGAACCGGAAAGAGGAAGTGGTATGAGGGATTTCACTTCCTGGTAGAAGCACAAGGAGGTAAACAAGGAAGAAGGCCACTCTTTCTATCACCGGTGCTGAGGTCTCTAGCACCCTGCAGGAATAGAAAACCCTTTTTAGCACAGAGAAAAGGGTAAGTGGGTGAACTACTTTCTAGATCCTGATCTGTAGTTTTCCCCAACCCAGAACTTGCAAATAGTCTTCTGTGAAAGAGCCATCCCTGCAGCAGGCAGGACCACCGCCCCCCTCCCCACCAGAGGTCTGTGTGCTCATCCCTGGAGCCTGTAAATATGTTACATTATGTGGCAAGCACAGGGCGGGACTGAGGCTGCAGAAGGAAATGAGGGCGCTGATCAGTGGACTATGACATGGGTGATTACGGGCTTACCAGCGTACAAAGTAATCACAATGGTCTACTGGACAAGTGAGAGAGGAAGACCAAAGTCAGGGTCAGAGACTAGACTCAAGAGGCCATGAGCTGAGGCACAAGGACAACTTCGAGCAGCTGGAAAAGGCAGGGAACTGGATTCTCCCACAGCACCTCCTGAAGGGCCTGGCCCTGCCAACACCTGGATTTTAACCCAGCAGCTAAAGATTTTGGACTTGTGACCTCCAGAACTGCAAGATAATAAGTCTGTGCTGTTTGAAGACGTCAGGTTTGTGGCAATTTGTTACAGCAGCAAGAAGAAACTAACACGACGCCCGTACCCTCAGTCTTAGGGTATTGACACCACTACCCTCCCCCAAGGTCAGGCCAAGCAGGCCAAGCAGGCCAAGCAGCCCTCTGACCTCTGACCTCTGCCGCTGAGACTACAGGAGGCCCATGCTTCTCACAGGGCAGCTCCCGGTCAGTACAAAGTATTTTCCTGGCTCATTAAGGTGCACCGTTTTTAGCCTACAATAACTGCGGGTTCTCCGTCTATTCAGCGGCAAAGCCCTCTGGTTCTTTTTCCTGCTTTCAGAACTTTAACAAGACCAGCTCTTCTGCCCACAAAACGTGTCCGACGACCAGCTTTGGCGGAGTCTGAGTCCAGTAAAGAAAAGACAGTATTTTCTACATTTAAAACGTTGCTGAGGGATGCCCTTCGTCTGCCTGCAGGACACACACGGGAGGACTCTGTCCCCTCAGCCCCTTACTACCATACTCGCCATCACTGCAGGTCAGGGCACCACCTCGGCTTCCCAGGGTGACGCCTACACAGCAGACCCTGACTGGAGCGGTGCGACAGCCCAGACTTGCACTTGCAAAAAAACTCACCTCTGTAGTCAAAGGTGACCACGTGGTAACCAAGGGAACTCAGCACCTGGAAAGTGAAAAATAAATACCTGGGCAACAAATCCACACATCTTGGATTGAGGGCAGCTTGCCTCTTACTAAACCCAGCCTGGTGTCAGTCTTTGTGCCCTGCACACAGTGGGAGCTTAAAAAAGACTGTTATGATGCTGCCCATTCCCCATTATAAAACCCACACGTCGGCCGCTGCTACAGGACACGCTGATGCCCTCTGCCTCTGGGATATGGAAAGAACGGCTCTCCTGTGGCTCAGACTACATTCACACAGGTAGCCCCCCAGGGCAGACACCCTGAGACCAGAGACCCAGGAGGAGGGGCTCTACGGTCAGAGACTGCATCCGGGATCCTTACTGCAACCTAGTATTTCTGACTGTAAGCTTTCGCTGAATTTTTCCATTATTAAAAACAAAATCCCTCTAGATGACGTGATCTCCTGGACTAGATGATTACTCACAGCCCCCACCTGAGCCTTCCCTGGGCTGTGCCCAGAGCCATGTGGAAGCGGCCAGCCACCAACATCCCCCAAAGTCACCTGAGGGAGGTGTGCCCCTTTCTCCTTCACCGGCCCCAGTGCAGGCTGTGGCAACCACTTCCCTCCAGTCCTGAGCCTCCCGCAGAGTCTGCCCTCACCAGGGCCACAGCTGCTTCAGGTGCGACCCTCCACCAGGGACCACAGCCCTGCAAGCGCACCCCCTCCCTGACTTAATCCAATTCAGTCGAGGCACAAACACTCCCATGGCCCATAGCAGCGCCTGTCCTCAGTGTATGAGGGACAGAGCGGTGCCCACAAGATGCAGATGTTCCCTCATATTTGCTTCTGTCCGTCTCTGCCAGGTTAGCAGAGGGGAGGCTGAGGGAGATGGCCCTGCAGGCAACCACACATTTCCGGCTCTGAGCGCCTGCCTGGGAGACCCACTGGCCCCTCCACCAGGTCAGCCTGGAATCTGGTTCTAAGGTGAGACTTTGGTGTGGCAGAGCTCCTGACCCTGCAACTTGGCAGGAGTGTGGCTCCCTGGCCCTGGGTGCTCTCCATTCGTTTTACAAGAGAAACGCAGCATTTAACAATTTCAAATGCCTTCAATATAACTGCCAATATCTGGCATATGATCCCCAAAGTGCATTCATTCGGCTTTCGGCAGCTCTCCCTGGAAGCAGCATTACAGGAGGCGTATAATGCTTATATAAGAAGCATTCCATGGTAGAGGCTTCCATAAAGGCAGTGTTGGAAAGGCCAATGCTGATCAACTCTCTCACAAGTACTGGAGGGACTCCCCTCTGTACATGCCTCCTGGGAAGAGCAGGTGGGAAACACCACTTGGGTGATGCGCTTTCCTTCCTATGCCATGTGGATACCACTCTCCCCGCATACACACTACGTATGTGGCTCTGCCCTTCATATACCCCCTGTACACAAATCTGCCCATTGACACCCTGTGAATGCCACTCTGCATGTTCTACACTGTGTGCACGCCGCTCTCCCGTCATCAAACCGTGCACGCAGCATGTACTCAGCTCTGCCCCATCATACAGCCTACGGACATCCCTCTGTCATACATTGTGTGCCATCTTCACCTACCTTGTAAAGTTCCACCCGGTGGTCACCTCCTCTAGAGCGTCAGGGAAAAGGAAACAAGAATGGGTGTTAGCACATCTTCTCAAAAAGGACAGCCCTAGGGTCAGTACTGGAGTGTCTGGGTCCTTGGTGACTTGGTCCCCAAGTCCATACAGGGAGGGTCATTGGGGGACAGGTGACCTCCTCTGCAAGGCATCATAGTGGCTCCATGCTTGTTTCTGGCAGTACCGTGACAAGCAAGGGATAGTGTTAGCATTTTGGGGATATTTCTTAATTATTGCCTTACTTCTATTTTTGACTAGCTAATACATAGGTACAATACACAATCCAGAAGACACAAGAGGATGCACAGCAAGCCCCCGACTCCTGCCCAGCACGTAGCCCCTCCCTCAGCTCCCTGGTGACCAGCAAGTAGGCAGAAGTGAAGGCGCTTCTTTATACGACATACGCACTCTACTTTCCCTCACTTTTCACTCAGTAACTCACAGCCAACTTCCAGAACTCTTTTTAGCGGTGGTTCACACCTTCCTTATCTTGCAGTCGTTCTGGCCCTTTCCTACCTGCTGTGAACCTAAGTTTTACTGCCATGGCCAGCTCGTGCTGATGTCCTTTTGCATAAGTGTGCTCCACGTGTGGGATACGTTCCTACACACGGAACTGCTGGGTGGAAGATGTGTGTGATCATAAGCTTGACAATTACTGCCCAGCTGTCTTCAGAGGGGCCCTGGCCCATCTCCTACCCCTGCACCCACAGATTAGTGTGGAGTGGGCACTTCTTATTACAGACACTAAACAGGCGTTCATGCATCCAAACTGCTTCGTGTGTCTATACTTCTTTGTCCGAGCACTACCTATCCCTTCTCACGCTTTGTGCAGCTGTTGGTTGGCTATTACTGTGAACAGACACCAAAGCGGGGACGGGGCCACCTCAGGAAGGAGAGCATGTCAGCGGGTGAACTCACCCTCTCCAGACTTTTTAGCAGTTTTCCTCTTTTATGGTGAGCACCCTGGCCACTTTGCTGTGTGTATGTTTGGGGCGGGGGGTGGGGGGGACAGGGAGTGTCCCTGAGAGAGACAGGGATGAGACAAAGGAGGAAAACCAATGCAATGTGGCCACAGAAATACAAGGGAATGAGTTTCAGGACCAGAAGGAAATACTGAAAAATGTTTTCAGTTATCTTTGGAAAAGTTCATGGTGGCTCTTGTCTAGGTTGTTTAAATTCCCTACCTTGAGCAAAAAGAAGAGGGGTTTAGCATGTGACAGTGCACAGCAGTAGCTGGGGACTGGCTCTCGGGGAGCCAGGGCTGCTGTAATCCTGCCAGGCCGAGGGGGGGGGCTCTCTGGGGACAGGGGAGAGGGCAACAACACTTTCAAAGTCACAGTGTTCCTTCAAACCTGAAGTTTAGGCAGACTTTGTCTCTTTTACCATGTGACTGGCATTGCTTAACTGAACCTTACTCCCAGTAAACTACAAAATTTTCTCATTTATAGGAAGATGCTACCAGAGTGGTTATAACCACTTGCTCTTTGAAAAGCAGAAGAGAAACCCACTGTAGCTTGTCCCAGACAAAGAAGAAAGCAAACTACCAAGTGCATGCACGATTCAGCAGCTAAATGCTCTGCTCTGTGGCCTCACACAGCATCCTCACAGCCCACACTTCCTGGACTTCCTGCAATGTGCACTGTGGAGCCCCTCTGCCCCGACACCACCAGGGTCTGCTTGCTGCCCCCCGACCCCCCACAAAGGCCTGTGAATTGATCTCTTTGTTGGTTCTGCCTATAGAATGACATACCCCCAAGCCCACCCTGGCAGCCACGGCACCCTGCTGACCCTTACCCAGGCCCTGTAGTAGCCCTGCCTCCTGCCGGCTCCTGCCAGCTCACTCACGCGCCCTAAGGAAGCTGCAACAACACTGACCCTCCTGGGGCTTCTCAGACAATGCTGTTTGGAAAATGTACCTCCTCCTTCACCCACACTGCTCTCCCAGAGATTCTTCTGAACAAGGCCAACCATGTGGGTAGACAAAGCCAATTCCCAGTGAATCTGAAGGACATGCTGTTATAGCCACTTTTTTTTTTTTTTTTTTTAAAAAGACGATTTGAGAGAGAGAGGGAGCACGAGTGCATGAGCAGGCAGAGGGAGAAGCAGACTCCCCGCTGAGCAGGGAGCCCGATGCGGGACTCGATCCCAGTACCCTGGGATCATGACCTGAGCCAAAGGTACACGCTTGACCGACTGGGCTACCCAGGTGCCCACAAAGCCACTCTTGAAAAGCATCTGGGATAAACTTGAGCAAAGGCTTGGCCTGCCACAGACAGTGCCTCAGCAACAGCCCGGCAGGACACACTGGCATTGCTGGCTTACAGATGAGAGAGAGAGAACTCACACCCATCACCCAACCTGACAGCATGGTGGGGCGGCCTGGGAGGATGAGTTCATCTGTGTGCACTCAGCTGGGGTCCCTCTGGCCTCCCTCTGCTTTCAGCCAACCCTCCTTTGGTGTCACCCTGACTCCTTCTCAGCACTCACTGCCCCTTGCCAGGAAGCGTGCCTCTGCCCCAGAAGGGCATGCCTGCCTGCGACCCTCAGACAAGGCTGACACACACGGCTAGTGAACAGGAGACAGCATTCCCCGGGGGCGCTGCGGCTCTGAAGTGTCACAGCGACCCCTCTGAGGAACCACCACTCCTTACTCACTGAGAAGCCTTATTCCTTAAGTCACTGGCCCTCACTTTGCCCTTCAAATTACGTCAGGAGGAAGGAAACACCCCAGCCTGGCCGAGGATCCGGGTCACTGTGACAGAGACACAGCCTCCTCCATTCCACCCAGGTGCGAGCCCCAGATAAGGGGTGTCTGGACACAGCTTCTCACATCTGCTTAACACGGGGGGTGGGGGTGGTTTCCCAAAGAAACTGCACCTGGGCCCACCTTGCATACAGCTCTGCTCTGAGCCTGTGGGAACACTGCTTCATGGGAATTTCATGCTGACCCCTTTCCCCCAAATCCCTTAAACTCTGCCTTTTCCTGTGTTCTTGGGATGCTCCACGGCCCCACTGCCTGTATACTCCCTCACTGCAGGGCATCAGTAGACCCGACTGGGCCAGCACTGCAGGGAGGACACGCTACGCAGGCTCCTCTTCCTCACCTTGTGCCTGCATTCCCGTGCAGGTACAGGATGATAGGGCGGCTGGAAGCCAAGGCGTCCTCGTACCACATCTGGTCCTTTCCTTGGGCATCCTTCCACCAGACAGCGGGGACAGTGTGCCTGGAAACAGAAGCAGAGTGGAGTGGCATGATCAGATGAGGATGACTACTGACAGAACGACAAAGGATCAGAGTCACAACTGAGTACAAAGCAGGACGGGTGGGGCTGGGGAGGCAAACTGCCCCCATGACCAGAAGAAATAACTCAGAACTCCAAGCTAGAGTGATGGCTTCTGACAGCCTTGGTAGGAGATTTCCTGACTTATACCTGGGCCCCTCGGGGCCACAGAAGCTTCCTCTGGTAGCAGGTGGGCAGGGGGTGGGGGTGGGGGTGGAGTTTCTCCCGTGTGAACTGTATACTCTGTAAGGTAAGATCTAGTCCAGCTCGCTCACCAGGACTTCACCTGGGCCTCGCACAGAATGAGTGCATAATACATACTAGCTAAGTAACATCATTTCCCCTCATACATACTCATATTTTTAAGCTGCAATTTTTTACTTATTTTTATTTAAATTCAATTAACATATAATGTATTATGAGTTTCAGAGGTAGAGTTCAGTGATTCATCAGTCTTATATAACGTCCGGTGCTCATCACATCATGTGCCCTCCTTAACGCCCATCACCCAGTTACTCCATCCCCCTACCTCCCTCCCCTTCAGCAACCCTTAGTTTGTTTCCTATGATTCAGTCTCTTATGATTTGTCTCCCTCTCTTATTTCATCTTGTTTTATTTTTTCCTCTCTTCCCCTATGATCCTCTGTTTTGTTTCCTAAATTCTACATACGAATGAAATCATGTAATTGTCTTTCTCTTATTGACTTATTTTGCTTAGCATAATACCCTCCAGTCATCCATGTCCATGTAAATGGTAAGTATTCATCCTTTCTGATGGCTGAGTAAGATTCCATTGTGTGTATGTATATGTGTGTGTGTGTGTGTGTGTGTATATATATATAAATACACCCACATATAGATCAATGGAACATTGATATAGAGATATATATATATATATACACACACATACTACTTCTTCTTTATCCATTCATCTGTTGATGGACATCTGGGCTCTTTTCATAGTTTGGCTTTTGTGGACATTGCTGCTATGAACATTGGGGTGCATGTGCCCCTTCAAATCACTGTTTGTATCCTTTGGATAAATACCTAGTAGTGCAATTGCTGGGTCATAGGGTAGCTCTACTTTCAACTTCTTGAGGAACCTCCCTACTGTTCTCCAGAGTGGCTGCACCAGCTTGCATTCCCACCAACAGTGTAGGAGGGTTCCCCTTTCTCCCGATCCTCACCAACATTTGTTGTTTCCAGTCTTGTTAATTTTTAGCCATTCTGACTGGTGTGAGGTGGTATCTCATTGTGGTTTTGATGTGTATTTCCTTGATGCCAAGTGATGTGAAGTATATCTTCATGTGTCTGTTGGCCATTTGTATGTCTTCTTTGAAGAAATGTCTTTTCATGTCTTCTGCCCATTTCTGACTAGATTATTTGTTTTTTTGGGTGATGAGTTTGATAAGTTCTTTATGTATCTTGGATAGTAGCCTTTTATCTGATATGTCATTTGCAAATATCTTCTCCCATAATGTAGGTTGCCTTTTAGTTTTGTTCACTGTTTCCTTTGCTGTGCAGAGCTTTTTATCTTAAGTCCTAATAGTTCATTTTTACTTTTGTTTCCTTTTCTATCGGAGACATAACTAGCAAGAAGTTGCTGTAGCCAAGGTCAAACAGGTTGCTGCTTGTGTTCTCCTCTATGATTTTGATGGATTCCTGTCTCACATTTAGGTCTTTCATCCATTTCATGTTTATCTTTGTGTATGGTGTAAGAAAGAGGTCCAGTTTCATTCTCCTGCATGTGGCTGTCCAATTTTCCCAACACCATTTGTTGAAGAGACTGTCTTTGGGAACAAAGACTGTCTTTGGATATGCTTTCCTGCTTTGTTGAAGATTACTTGACCACAGAGTTGAGGGTCCATTTCTGGGTTCTCTATTCTGTTCCACTGATCTATGTGTCTGTTTTTGTGCCAGTATCATGCTGTCTTGATGATCACAGCTTTGTAATATAGCTTGAAGTCGGATATTGTGATACCCCCAGCTTTGGTTTTCTTTCAACATCCCCCTGGTGATACAAATTTTAGGATTGTTTGTTCCAGCTCTGTGAAAATGGCGATGGTATTTTGATAAGGATTGCGCTGAATGTGTAGATTCCTCTGGGCAGCATAGACATTTTCACAATGTTTATTCTTCCAATCCATGAGTACGGAATGTTTTTCCATCTCTTTGTGTCTTCCTCAATTTCTTTCAAAAGTGTTCTGTAGTTTCTAGAGTATAGATCCTATACCTCTGTGGTTAGGTTTATTCCTAGGTATCTTATGGTTTTTGGTGCTATTGTAAATGGGATTGATTCCTTAATTTCTCTTTCTTCTGTCTCATTCTTAGTGTATAGAAATGCAACTGATTTCTGTGGATTGATTTTACATCCTGCTACTTTGCTGAATTGCTGTATGAGTTCTAGTAATTTTGGGGTGGAGTCTTTTGGGTTTTCCACATAAAGTATCATGTCATCTGTGAAGAGAAAGAGTTTAACTTCCTCTTTACCGATTACACAGATGCCTTTCATTTCTTTTTGTTGTCTGATTGCTGTTGCTAGGACTTCTAGTACTATGTTGAATAGCAGTGGTGAGAGTGGGCATCCCTGTCGTGTTCCTGATCTTAGGGGAAAAGCTCTCAGTTTTTCCTCATTGAGAATGATATTCACTGTGTGCTTTACATAGATGGCTTTTACGATATTGAGGTATGTACCCTCTATCCCTACACTATGGAGAGCTTTAATCAGGAAAGTATGCTGTATGACACATGAGTGTGGACAACTATCATTAAAAATTTTGGAAATTCTGCCTTCTCCAAAATTTAACTGAAAAAATATAGAAGAAACCAGAGGTATTTTATAATTGATTTATATTTTATAATTGATGTTTTGTATAATGCACTGAAAAAGACAGAATTTTTTTGAAAACATTTTTCAAAAAACCACAAAAGTAGGATGGGAAGTATACAGCTTTAGGAATCAGAATCTTGACAACACTCTGCCTTTTGTCACCTTAAGCAAGTAGCATTTAACCCCTTGTAGACACTGTTTATTGCTCCAGAACAAATGAAATAATATATTTGAATATAAAACTGCTTTGTGCAAAAAAATGTGCTTTGTACATTATAACATGCAATATGGTTAATTCCATTGTTAAATAGAATTTTAGGTTCTCTTCTGGAGGCCATGCCCAACCAGGGAGATTTGTTAGAATATAGGAGGGGCCGATGAAGGAGAGGTATGCAAATATTAGAGTATGATTTGTTAGAAAAACAAAAGTACCACATTTTTATAATAAAAATATTGGAGAGAATGTGAAAAAAAAAAAGAAAGTATGCTGTATTTTGTCAAATGCTTTTTCTGCATCAATTGAGAGTATCATATGGTTCTTGCCTTTCTTTGACTTATGTAGTCTATCACAGATTGGTTTGTGGATGTTGAACTATCCTTGCAGCCAAGGAATAAATCCCACTTGGTCGTGGTGAATAAACCTCTTACTGTATTGTTGGATCCTATTGGCTAGTATCTTGGTGAGAATTTCTGCATCCATGTTCATCAGGGATATTGGTCTGTAATTCTCCTTTTTGGTGGGGTCTTTGTCTTGTTTTGGGATCAAGGTAATGCTGGCTCCTAGAGTTTGGAAGTTTTCCTTCCATTTATATTTTTTGAAACAGCTTCAGAAGAATAGGTATTCATTCTTTAAATGTTTGGCAGAAGTCCCCTGGGAAACCATCTGGCCCTGGACTCTTGTTTTCTTGGGAGATTTTTATTTACTGCTTCAATTTCCTAGCTGGTTATGGATCTGTTTGGGTTTTCTATTTTTTCCTGTTTCAGTTTTGGTAGTTTATACGTCTCTAGGAATGCATCCATTTCTTCCAGATTGCCTAATGTGCTGGCATATATTTGCTGATAATATGTTCTTATAATTGTTTATATTTCTTTGGTGTTGTTGTGATCTCTCTTCTTTCATTCATGATTTTATTTATTTGGGTCCTTTCTCTTCTCTTTTGGTAAGTCTGGCCAGGGGTTTATCAATCTTAAAATTCTTTCAAAGAACCAACTCCCAGTTTTGTTGATCTGTTCTACTGTTCTTTTGGTTTCTATTTCATTGATTTCTGGTCTAATCTTTATTATTTCCCTTCTACTGGATTTAGGCTTTATTTGCTGGGCTTTTTCCTCCAGCTCCTGTAGGTGTAAGGTTAGGTTGTGTATTTGAGACCTGTCTTGTTTCTTGAGAAAGGTTTGTATTGCTATATACTTCCCTCTTAGGACCACCTTTGCTGCATCCCAAAGGTTTGGAACAGTTGTGTTTTAAGTTTCATTAGTTTCCATGAATTTTTAAATTCTTCTTTAGTTTCCTGGTTGACCCATTCATTCCTTAGTAGGATGCTCTTTAGAATCCATGTATGTGAGTTTTTTCCAAATTTCCTCGTGTGATTTAGTTCCAGGTTCAAAGCAGTGTGGTCCGAAGATATGCACGGAATAATCTCAGTCTTCTGGTACTGGTTGAGACCTGATTTGTGACCCAGTATGTGATCTATTGTGGGGAATGTTCCACGTGCACTTGAGAAGTGTATTCTTTTGCTTTAGGATGGAATGCTCTGAATATATCTGGGAAGTACAGTCCAGTGTGTCATTCAAAGCCCTTGTTTCCTTGTTGATCTTCTACTTAGATGATCTGTCCATTGCAGTGAGTGGGGTGTCCCCTACTATTGGGGCACCTGGGTAGCTCAGTCAGTTAGCATCTGCCTTCAGCTCAGGTCATGATCCCAGGGACCTGGGACCTGGGATCAAGCCCCGCATCAGGCTCCTTGCTCAGTAGGGAGCCTGCTCCCCACCCTTGTGCTCTCTATGTCAAATAAATAAATAAAATCTTTTAAAAAAATAATAAAGTCCCTTACTATTATTATATTATTATCGACGTGCTGTTTAATTTTATTATTAACTGGTTTATGTAATTGGCT